TATAGATAAACTTGTCAGTTTATTTTGTTTTATTCTGAGTACCACAATGTAATATTTACTAGTCTGACAAAACCCATGAATTAGCACCAGATGGTGCAGGTCACTTTCATTGTGATTGATCATGGAATCCTTTCTACGGTCAATTGGTCAATCACATTCTATTTTTCATGAGGGGTCTAGGAGACTTCAAACTTCAAATATATATATTCCTTATCACCAACCACTGCAAATGTGACAAGGTTCATCATATTATTTACAGAATGATCCCCGTTGATTTTAGATTTTATGTAATAAATAAAAAATTTACAATAACCTTTATTCTTAAGATATCTTTTTCAAACTTAAGATGTATGTTTCTCAGCACCCACATTAAATGCAACAAGATACATTATTCTAACACAAATATTTACATACATGTAATTATTTCCCCCTTTAAACTTAGATTTTTTTCTGAAAATAAAATGTTTTTACTTTTTTATTTCTTAAAGTATTTTATTGACTCTTCAATCCTCAAATTAAAGTTTCATATCACCTCCCATATCATGATCATAAATTTGAAAAGGTTCATAACTTTAGCATCAATATTTCTAGAATTATCTGCCCTTATATTTAGAATTTTCTTATTTTTTTTGCTCGACGATTTGATAAAAATAATAAGAGGATATTTTTTCGTTTGAGTGAAATATGGAATATATTTTCACGAAACATGATAAAATGCCACATATTTTCACGAGCCGGGACGGCGAGTGAAAATGTGTGGCATTTTATCATGTTGAGTGAAAATATATACCATATTTCACGAAAAACGAAAAAATAACCTTTTTATTTAATTTCATTATCAAAGAAAAATGGTTACGAACACCATTGCTTGCTACATAACTGCAATTGTACAGCGCGCAGTAATATAATTATTGTCTTGTTTTGCACGCGATATTTAGCGCTACATTGTGACGTCACGTAAACAACTCTTTAAACGTCTGTACAGCGTAAAAGAGTGAATTAATGATACTGGTGTTCGGATATATTTTCTTAGTTAGACCATTTTCTATCATTCTAGATAGTTTTCAAAACGAAATTCAACAAAAAAGTTGTTTTGTATTTATCAGATTTTTTCAAACAAAATGGCGAAAGAAGTTCCTTAAATAAATATGAGTTTTGACTCCGCCCACTTTCATATTTATATTTCATATTTAATTTTAAAAAATATGAAATATATTTGACTGATATAGCACCATATTTCATGGGTAAAATTAAATAAGAAGAGCTATCCTAGTCACCTGAGTGTCGGCATTGATATAACTACTTAAGTTTGTGTACCACCTCAAATATTTTCAAAGCTCATTGATATATGGCTTTGAAACTTAACTTTGCACACTTGTTCACCATCATGCCCCCAACCTGTAAACAGGTGGAGGTAACTATTAAGCATTTTGACAGAATTATGTCCCTTTTTGAGTTAGAATTTTTGTTAATGTTTGGGTACCACCTCAAATATTTTCATGTTCCATTGACATCTGGCTTTGCAACAAGTTGAAATTCTATACACTTCTTAATTGAGAGCATCATAGGCTTTTTTGAACTTAGAAAATTTTACATTATCGAGGCTCTTTTACTATCAAGTACTAAGAATAGTTGAGCTGTCCTACCGACAGCTCTTGTTTCTGTAACTTCTATATTTCTTGCGATTTACTTCACACTTGAAATGTATGTTTGTTATCATATTTTATGTAATAAAAATTTTAACTCAAGCACCTGTAAAATTTTACAGTATTCTCTTCATTTTGAACTTGGAATTTTTCTGTAAATTACTATTTTTTATAACATTTTTCTTTGTTACTATAAATGGTATCAACTTTACTATTACTTAGTTACTATTACTCTTAATATGTTACATATTTTTTGCTCTTATCATTTTTGTCAGTGAAAAGATTGACTTCAGATTTAAAACTGCTGTCTTTTCGATTAGGTCATAGAAAATGAATGTCTGTTTCACTATCACTGACATAGTCACAAGGATGTTATGTTGAACATTGTACTTGATACTGGTACAGAAATATATCTTTATCATAATTTGTTTTTTGTATATAGTTTTGTCTTCCTTTATTATTTACAGTATTTGATTTCAGTCAAGCATGCTTTCTCCTCTGACAGCTCTTGTAAGATTTGGGGACACTTGTCCTAGGGTGAAAGTGTCCCAGATTCATTGCTATTGCATGGTCATCATCGGTTACCCACGGTATATATTACATATATACAGAATATATACCATGGGTTACCGACAATGTTACGTATTAAATTTTTTTTAAATAAAACAACAGGAAATTTATTTTATCTTGAAAAATTCAACTTTTATCTTCTCGGATATGTCTTTATAATAGTTAGGTGATTGGTATCCCTGTGTGGTAAAACAATGAGTGATGTTTATCAGTGACAATGAATGTGTGTAATATGTGATATTATTTATGATAACATGACTAATTAGAGATTAGAACAATATTATTTAAAAGCATAACTCTTATACATATATTTATAAAGATGAATTTACTTATTCTCCATTTCTGTAACAAACTGGTCAGAATTTAATCATTAAGGGGCCCCTGGTCAGGAATATGAAATTTTTTTAATCCAGGATCATAAAAAAATATAAATGATAAAGAAGAATTGATAAATGATATGGTTTATATTACAACTTGCCAGTGTGTTTCACCATCCAATTACATGAGGAATGTAAAATGTTGAAAGCATGTGACTGTTGATATCTTTATATATCCTATATGTTACATTAACCAATTATAACAGAGCTTTATTTACTTCCTGAATTTATAACAATAGATTGCACTTTGTTGTCATGCTTGAGTTTAATTTGATGTTGTTTTCGGAGAATATGGTGGCTACATGAGGTAATATAGAGGCTAGTTGTTGTTTAAGAAAAACATTTATGTTGGTGGTAGGATAGATAATTAGTACATGGATATGTATCTAGTGTTAGTCAACAGTTAAAGGCATGCAAAGTTGGCATTTGAGCATTATTTAATTACCTACATATAGATATAGTACATGGTAAGTACATTATCTGCTGTTGTACACATACAGGCTGGAGGTGTTTGCTCATAACCACAAGGATGTAGTACGTTGTTGTTATAGTGGTAATTATAAGGAAAAATATTAATGGGTGCTATTATATGGCGAACAAAATTGTGATATCAGAGTTACGGATATAAAGAACTTTTGTGACTAGATGATAATAAGAATACTGGTCTGTGTGGCAGAGTGGTTATGATGGCTGGATTCAAATCACTTGGTCTGTTTGATCTTTATCTTGGTCGGTTTGAATCTTATCTTGGTCGGTTTGAATCCCATCTGGGATTTTAAATTCCTTTATGTGAGGAAGTCATCAAGTTAGCTTATGATCATTGGTTTAAGTATTTATCTAAGTGACTTGTCACTGAAATCATGCATTTGGGTTTGCTTCCTTCTAAAAAATATATATATACATTGTATATTGATACTTTTTTAACTAATTTGGTGTGTTTAAAATGGCAACCAAAATATGCAGAAAAAAAGAAAAAAATGCTAGATGTATAAATTTAATATTTAAAAAAAAATTCTAAAAAATGTCTGAGGCATATCTTATATAAGCAAAGTACAATTCAAGGAGAAATAAAACTTCCTCATAGATATATATGTATATTTTATTTGACAAGAAAAAGGAATTTTTAAATTATCCTTTTATCAGTACATAGATAGATTGTATATGTCAAATATTTAATTATTTTAGCTGATTTATGGGTAAATGTACCTTTATTTAAATGAGATAACATATTTTGTATTTTGGTCTGTTAGGTAACAATTATGTCTTGTTTAAAACATCATTGGAAGTCATGATGAGCAAACTATTTGAGCCGTGCCATGACAAAAGCAACATAAAGTGTTTGCAACCAGAATGGATCCAGACCAGTCTGCCCATCTGTGCAGTCTGATCATGATCCATGATGTTCGCTATCAGTTTCTCTATTTGTTATAGAGTTTGTAAGCTTTATGTTGGTTTTGTCATGGCGTTGCTCATTTATAATACAGAACATTTGTAATGTCATTTTTCATTGGCTAATCATGACGTTTATATAGTTTTATATACACTGCTACTGTCAATTTATGACACTTTTTTCTCTAAAAACGGAAGTTTGCTGTTATAAATTTTTTATAAAGATTCTTGACATGACCTAGCGGCTAGGGTTATATAATTATGAAGACAACCATTTATATAGGGCCATATAACCTGTCAAAAAATTTTGTAACTAATATATGTGCATGTTTAAAGAAGTATTTTATATTTGTATATGGTTAAAATAATTTTTTAATTCCAGTCGAAGATTATCTTCCTTACCTTAAACCTTTCTGAATTTATGTAATGGACAAGTTATATATTGTGACCTTGTCAGTGTAAAAAAAATAACCTAAAATTTTGACATTGCCTGGCAAGTTAAACAAGATGTTTACGGCATAATAGGTAGATAAAATAAAAAGTTACGTGAGTAAAAAAGCAAAACATTTGAATAAGATTGTAAACATACTGTAAAATATTTATATAAGCTTAAGTGTTCTATTCATTGAAAATGATAAAAATCAAGTAGTGTGATATTTTACCGTAGACATTTGTCTTTGTTCATTTTTCTTATTTTTCTTTTGTTCCTTTAAAATAAAACTTCTGAATGTTATTGTGGTGATGTAACGTTATGACTGTATCCCCGGTACAGAACTGGACCAGCCCAAATATTGGTGCAGCCTGACACTGACAACTTGACACTGAGCTCCTTGTAATGAACAGCAAAGCCATTTCAACAATTAAACTAAAAGACTGATAGATGGTGATATGTTGCGGACTCTTCTACTGTTGTTATGAAAATAAATATAATATTATATTATATGATAATTTCATGCCTAAGTATAAATAGTGCTTAATTATTTAATATGCTTTTTTGTTTTCTTTACACTGGTAAGGTAAATGAAGAGAAGTTTTATTGAATGCTTATGAATGGAGTGTTCACATTTAAAATAATATATTTACAGTAGATCGTGCAGTATGTAACAAAAAATTTGACTTTGTAAATTTCAAATAGACACACAGACATTTAAGGCGTAACTATGGCAACATCAAAACATGTGATCAAGGAAAAGAAGGATATTCTTATCCTGTTTGAGGAGAAAGATTCGAAGGATTGGACACAGTTTATACAGGAATGTTTTACAGACTGTCCAAAACGTTTGTTAATAGATGTGCTAGACTTGAATACAAATATTGATGAGATCATCTCCCAGGCATCATCATACTGGATGGTACTAGTGATAATTTCTAACGAAATGTTGAAAACAATGGAATCAAAGGCTAGCGTATTGAATCCTTGTCTGCAGAAACATCCTAGTGTATCTGCTATAAAGTTGTACCTGGAAAAGGAGAAATTTAGTATAAAATTCCGCCAGGATTTTAAGAGTTGTGACCAGTGGAAAGAGTTTATTGTAGGAGCCGATACCGATGTAGATCATGTACAAAAAATCATCTCAGAGATTATAAATGAACTGGAAAAAGTGAATACACCTGAAAAACATACATCAGAAAAACATACAAGGAATAGAATACACTACATAGGTCCTGACCAAGTTAGACAGGTATTTAAATCATTATATAATTTCAATATAAGAAAAAAATGAAAAAGTGGCTGTTTAGAAATGTAATAACTAGATTTTGATATCCAAGTATTCAAAATAACAATGTCTATAACTGCAGTGCAAGTTTTTTTGTGTTTTTGTTTATATTTATTCAATTAAAGAAATGAACACCAGTTACCACCTTTAGTGTAGTTTGACTGTATTTCAGTTGTTGATATTTAAACTAATTACATGTATTTTTAGGGATCAATGATTAAAATTCTGAAATGAAAGCATATTGCTTCTGTATACAAATAATTATATTTTCCTAAGGAATAAAGATGTACATTTTTAGTAAGGATACAATTGGATGATACTACATGTATATGAAGGGTTATTGAAACCCTAATTTTTTACGATTTCAAAAAAATTTATTTACCTAACAAGGTTTATAAGTTCTGTAAATATAACTATAATGACTTGTTTCAGGGTGGTGAGACAATGACTCTTGTATTAAGAACACCTGTTACTAAAGGTCAGTGTGTTCAGGTACAGGTTGGAGCTGAGAACACACCACTGATTGATACCAAAACTCTAAATACTTACTGTTTCACATTTAAAGCACCAGGTAAGTCTGCAACATGCTTTAACTTCAAGGTCCAATTTATATAATATGTATATACATGTATACATCACACAAAAGTCATGCCACAGCCAAGACTTGAACATCGGACCTCTGGATTGCTGGTCCAGTATGCTAACCAATACACCACAACCACTGTTATGTTTTCTTCATGCTATTTGGTTTTATTTATTTAAGTTATTTTTTACTTTATTGTTACATTACCACTTTTATTACCATAATGGGGAGCTATTTATTGTTACGATTCAATCAGTCTTAGTTTTGCTTATTATAAATATTCTTGTATCTGTTGTTCAAGTTACAAATGATGGGGTATTGTCTTTTTTTTTCTACAATGCTTGTAAATGTTTTATTTATAGAAATTAAATACAATGTAATAGGATATTAACCGCGTGTATTTTCTGATAATAATTTATATTTTCAGCTCACAAGGCAGGCAGAGCTGATGTCAGATTATTAATTGATGGGCAGAAAATTTGCAAGAAATCTATTTATTATTCCTCAATGACCCGGTTTGCCTACACATGTCCGGAATTTTTATGTCAGCTCCTGGGTTTAAATCATGATGATAAAGCTGGTCTAGATACAGAACTAACAAACATATTTAACAACAGTGCTCCACAAGATGGTTCTCTACAATGCCTTCTGACACCAAAAAATCTTCAAGCCACTTCTACTGGTGGTGAGTCTTTATTGTATTGGCTATCATAAATTAAGAATAAATGTCCTATTTATCCTTGCATATGTACTGAACACCTACTAGTAGTTCAAGTTCTAAGCTGAAGGTAATCACTTAGAAATTTGGGTCATAATTCAAAATGGTAGGTAAAAGATAAAGAAATAGCATGAATTTTTACTAAAATCTTTATTATACAGGTACATGTTATATCCCGGTGGGATAAAAAAAAGTCCCAGGATTTAGATGTTCAGCCCGACTTAAAACTTTTTTAATTAAAAGATTTAAAAAAAAAAGAAAAAAAAAGAAATGTCATTGTAAAAAATCAAACAAGCATGTGTCTGTAAAATGTAAACTGCGCCTCCTGGCATTTATCTATGATATAAAACAGTATCTGTCCTCCTGGCATTTATCTATGATATAAAACAGTATCTGTCCTCCTGGCATTTATCTATGATATAAAACAGTATCTGTCCTCCTGGCATTTATCTATGATATAAAACAGTATCTGTCCTCATGGCATTTATCTATGATATAAAACAGTATCTGTCCTCCTGGCATTTATCTATGATATAAAACAGTATCTGTCCTCATGGCATTTATCTATGATATAAAACAGTATCTGTCCTCCTGGCATTTATCTATGATATAAAACAGTATCTGTCCTCCTGGCATTGATCTATGATATAAAACAGTATCTGTCCTCATGGCATTGATCTATGATATAAAACAGTATCCTGTCCTCCTGGCATTGATCTATGATATAAAACAGTATCTGTCCTCCTGGCATTGATCTATGATATAAAACAGTATCTGTCCTCCAGGCATTGATCTATGATATAAAACAGTATCTGTCCTCCTGGCATTTATCTATGATAAAAAAACAGTATCTGTCCTCCTGGCATTGATCTATGATATAAAACAGTATCTGTCCTCATGGCATTTATCTATGATATAAAACAGTATCTGTCCTCCTGGCATTGATCTATGATATAAAACAGTATCTGTCCTCCTGGCATTGATCTATGATATAAAACAGTATCCTGTCCTCCTGGCATTTATCTATGATATAAAACAGTATCTGTCCTCCTGGCATTGATCTATGATATAAAACAGTATCTGTCCTCCTGGCATTGATCTATGATATAAAACAGTATCCTGTCCTCATGGCATTTATCTATGATATAAAACAGTATCTGTCTTCCTGGCATTGATCTATGATATAAAACAGTATCCTGTCCTCCTGGCATTTATATATGATATAAAACAGTATCTGTCCTCCTGGCATTGATCTATGATATAAAACAGTATCTGTCCTCCTGGCATTGATCTATGATATAAAACAGTATCCTGTCCTCCTGGCATTTATCTATGATATAAAACAGTATCTGTCCTCCTGGCATTGATCTATGATATAAAACAGTATCTGTCCTCCTGGCATTGATCTATGATATAAAACAGTATCCTGTCCGTCTCCTGGCATTGATCTATGATATAAAACAGTATCTGTCCTCCTGGCATTGATCTATGATATAAAACAGTATCCTGTCCGTGTTCTGTTTCATAGCGTATTAGATATACAGTGTTGCTTATTAACAGCAAAGTGATATAATTAACAGGGATGAGTGCCCATTGATGTTAGTCTAAGTTAATCTTATATGTTTAACTAAGCAGCCTGTCACTGTGAAAATGATTACAGTTTGCAAAAAAATACCAAATTGAAAATACTAGTATGGTTTTTGTTGTCCATAAAACATGTGTGTTGCAGTAGAACTCAGTTTTAATTGTGGAAACTTTGCTTCGAAACACAATTTTAAAGTCATAGAAGTGTTCAAAATTTGTCTTTGATTTGATCAATTGACATCCTGTTTTATGCCATGTTTATGTCTTAATATAGGGGCCATATCAAAATTTGGGGCATAAGTTGCAATCTGTTAAAGCCTAACTAAAGTTTGTCATATATTTTTTTTATTCGTACAGGCACAGAAGGTCGTGGTGAGTTACCTACCTTGTTACATTTTGCCTGTAAGTTTGGTTTAAATGACCTTGCTGTTAGTGTGATGGATACACCAGGATCTAGTATAGCTGTAAATATGGACAATGAACAAGGTTTGACACCACTCGATATTGCTTTAGAAACCAACAATGAGGAATTGGTCCAGTATTTGGAGAGCTTTGTGGTAAGTGCTTCAAACCAAAGAATCAATGCTTCTTTATATTTTATGTAATGACTTAATATAATAAAGAAGATTTCATCATATTTAGAAATAATTACATTCAAGCTCCTTAAGAAAAGAAAATAAATTGGTTTAGAATTTTATAATGATAATCCGAAAATGTTATTCTTATTTACAAAATAAAAAAACAACAACTTTTCTTTATGTACTATAACTACATTTTTACACTCATAATCCTAGTACATCCTGTGAATAGAATCTTAAAAAAATTGAAAACTAGAATACCGTAACAAAAAAAATCAGAAAAATCAAATAGAAAACGAAAGTAATTAACACAACATGACATTAACTGCTAATAATAACAGCTAAAGACTACCATGGGCCGGAAAATAAAGCCTTTCATATGAGATGACAAACTTTTGTTGAATTTGTTGTATATCTGTTGTGAAGATTAATTGACGTGATCATTGTTGTGTTCACGGAGACCATAATTGGGTATTATAATGATATATGTTTGCAGGAAATGCACAACTATGTGACGGAGATAGAAGATCTGTATGAGAGGATGAGTGGAGGAAAGGCATTAGACCCTTACATAAATCTAGGTATGTACATTAATAATGTTATCATTTTAAGGGTTGATCGCAAAACTGTAGTAACTTATATGAAATAAGAAAGGACTTACATCAATTTTGCTTGTCAGCCCTTGATTTTTAAATCTTAATTCTGTATAAAGAATTCTGTATGGGACAGTACCTGGTTTATTTGTATTTAACTGAATGTAAATTGGGGTATCAAGTTTAAAGGGTATAAAGTTACATCTAATGAAATATTTTCATAAAATTTATGAAGGGTAAAATTTTCTTGTTCCCATAATCTTATGGTCGATTTTTAAAAGAATTTTAAGTTAAATTATTCTGTTAATATTTTAAATAACCAGGATAAAAATGTTCCGGAACAAAATATTATTCTGCTATTTTAAGTAGGGTTTTAACCATTTAGCATTGCTTGAATGCATGTACCATTCACTCTTAAGGAAATATATAAATATATTTCTTTCATTTAGGTATTTTAGAAAAATTCTTTTTCAAAATTGAAACAATAATTTAGTAAACTACAGGCAGCATATATATAGTTTTACACACAATAAAACTTTGGACATACATGTAATACAGTCTTATGTAAAATTACATACTATGCCTGAAAATTTGTTCCAAAGAAGTTAATTGAAATTTTCAGAAGTTATATAAACTGTATAAACAAGTTTCGGTTACACTTTTGAACTGTTGATATAAATGGTAACTTCAGGTGATGGCAAAAATAAATACCTTCAAATGGGGAGACCTAGTGATGTTCAGGAAGCCTATGTGGAAGCAAGAGTGGCTAGTAGATTATCTGATTATGAAACAACCGATGCCCCGCCCACATTCCCAGGGGGCCCTGAGGAAGTTGCTGAGGAAGATGATATTCCACCTGGTAATCAATACTTGTAGTCAATTTGAGCCGCGTCATGACAAAACCAACATAATTGGTTTGCAACCAGCATGGATCCAGACCAGCCTGCACATCCGCGCAGTCTGATCAGGATCCATGCTGTTCGCTTACCAACCCTATAACAAGTAGAGAAACTGATAGCGAACAGCATGGATCCTGATCAGACTGCGTTGATGCGCAGCCTGGTCTAGATCCATGCTGGTCACAGACGCACTATGTTGGTTTTGTCGTGACGCGGGTCATTTATTAACAAGTTTATGTAGCAGTTGTCTGTGTTGTCCACGATTACATCCTAGATCACGAAGTCCAAGGATTGAGTCCTCTAAAGGATAATCGTTTTGGGTTTCAGCAGATTAAAGGATTAAAACAAGCTAGTAAATGAGTCAAATGACATAACAAGATTATGAGTGTTATAAATTTGTATGAATTGGAACTATTTCACACAAGCTTTTACAATGTATGTTAAAATTGATATGGCATATTAGTCCTAAATATTTTGTCAGGAAACAATTCTCAGAATTCAATTTTAGTACACTTTTCTGAGTCTATTTATCATAAAAATATTCTACATAAAGCAAAAATATGTATAATGCATAATATAGAGAAAATTTAACTTTAGTATTTAATATTATATGAACCATATAGTGCAGAATAAAGTCCTTGTTTCAAATTTTCAAGATTTGTCTATATTTTAACAGGGCTAGGACTATTTTATGAGATTTAAAGTTAGTATAATAATTAATTGTACTTTAGGACAAATATATCAATTTTAGTTTATTGTTTTATTATTATGCACAATATCAGTTCAGATGCTTAGAAATGTAATATGCCTAAGTGATTAATTACAAAGTATTTAAATTACAAACCATGTATTATTATACTACAACTAAAAAGATTAATAAATTATCAATTTCCATTCTAACATGCTTATAGAAGGAGAATTAAAAATATGTTGAACAACATTGAGGATAGAAGTAATTTTCCTTATATCATTATTTAGTTTATTGAAATGTCTTTTTTTTTCTTCTCTCTCTCTAGAAGTATTAAGATGAAGTGTGGGTAATTTAATTCAATCATCAGATAGATATTCACAAGTTATTTGTCACAGGATAAATTAATCTTACCGGTTTTAAACTTCCTTTATATTTTGAATTAATACTTTACTGGTGAGCTGGAGAAGGAAGTTTAAATATTTTAATTACAATAGACACAAGTGGAATGAAATGAAGTGTTGGGTTTTCTCTAAGACATACATGTACATGGTATAAGTCTAATGTTTACTTCCTCTATTTATCATAAAAACTCATAATCAATACTTAATTCATCCTCGGTAATCCGGGCTATTTACCGTATACAATGTACATGTATTAAATGTAGTAGATACAGAAAGTGTACCGTGGGTTCCGACAATGTACTTAATACTGTACTATAAATTGGTCTTCTTTTTAATAATAAACTAACAATATGAAAACTGTTTTTCTAGATTCCTTAGGCTTTCTAAAAATAGTTATTGAAAATGTTTTTTGTGTGTGTGTGCGCGTGTGTGTGTGTGTTGCAATAATAAGTTGGTGTTTTCCTAAACTTTTGGTCAGTATAGAAAAATGGAAAAGATAAATTTGTTGCCTTTTAGAATAGGCATGATAGGTATAATATGTTGACTGCAGTGCTTACTGATAACACAACATTCTAAGATGGCTCATAAATTAATAGGGTTATATTTCAAATTTGCTTTCTTGAATTAAAAAAAAAAATCTCACTGAAATCTTAGCTCTGAAAGCCTTTCCCACTGACTTGTAACTAGGCCAGTATTTCATGTTGTCTGACCAAACTACATATGAGCCGCGTCACAACAAAACCAACATAATGGGTTTGTGACCAGCATGGATTCAGACCAGCCTGCGCATCCGCGCAGTCTGATCAAAATCCATGCTGTTCGCTTACATACTCTATTACAAGTGGAGAAACTGATAGCGAACAGCATGGATCCTGATCAGACTGCAAGCATGCGCAGGCTGGTCTGGATCCATGCTGGTCGCAAACCCATTATGTTGGTTTTGTCGTGACGCGGCTCATATATTTTGTTTTGCTATTCAGAATATTTTTGAAAAATTAACAAGACATTGTTCAAAATTCAAAGCACTTGATATCCTGTGCACAAAGTTTCGACTTCAGAGTTAAACAGTGCATTATTGTTCATTGGTTGTTATTAAAGTTACCACTGACCTTACAGCTCATCATCCCATGTTATAAATTAAACTTTAAAAGCATCTAGCTTTGTAAGTACATCATTGTTAATGTTTCATGATCTGAAGTGATGCTATTAAAATATTTTAAGAAGAATTATGGATGAATCATGTTTGTTCATAATGACACTTGTCAACAAGCATGCATTTTCCTCATAAATATTACTGTAAGTTTCTTTCTTATGATTTAAAATAACAAATTAGTTATATATTTTGAACTCTTAATGCTTTGAAAGCCTTTATACGTCATAAACTAAGCGATATACTGTTTGTTTATAATTATTTGAAGATGAGTGTATATAATAAAAAATCCCCACAAAAAAAAAACAACTAAACAATAACATTATTAAACACTTTTGAAAAGTACATTGAGGTAAAATTTCAGATCTAACCAGCAGTAATAGATTGGCTATTTGAAGGCAACAATTGTGATAATTTAAAGCATATTGTCTTGTCATACTGTGATTTCAAGTACACCTTAACCTTTGCCTGCTACAAGCAACAGGTTCTACCAATTCAACCAGTGCAGACCAAGATCAGCAAGCACATTGGTGCCATCTAAAAGTCAGTACTGGTTCATACATGTACTTTGATTTTTTGTTTCTATAATGATGAACGATTTTGTCCAAGTACACAAAAATGGACACATCTGTTACAAACATAGATACAGGTTTAAAAGACAATTAGTTATAAACTTTGACAATATTAACATTTTTCAGAAGTACCACAGCGGCCTCATGCAGCGAAAAAGCCAGTAAAAGACACAACATCCAGCCAACAAACATATTATAGAGAACCACCAAGTGTCATGGATCAATGGCCAGCTATACCAGAGGATGATTTTTTTGCAGGTATGAGACCCAATCTAGTCATTTAAATATTAACCCCCACAAAATTGTAACAGTTGACATCCTTTTGGTGATATTTTAGGTGCTGATCTTCCTTGAGTCATTTTTCAAGATGTTGACCTTCCTATTGGTCATATAAAGCTTTCTTGGGTCATTACATTGCTATTTTCCAATATTTTTTGGAATTGACTGTCATTGGGTCAATATAAGTTTGATAGCATTCGCTTTTCTTGGGTCCTTACAGGTATTTTCCTTTTCCGGGGATTGACTTTACTTGGTCTATACATGTATAAACTTATCTTAAGTTGTTGCAGGTATTTATCTTTCAGTGGTCAGTGCAGGGTATAAATTATTATTTTAATCTGAGTAAAAGGATAAGAATGTGTCAGAAGTACATGTAGATTATAAATAAGCAATAAACAGAGGTCCTATCTGAGAGTATATTTTATATACTTTTTGTGGAAAACTGGTAAAAAACTTTCAATGTATAAGCTCTTTGAAACAAAACCCATCAATATATATTTTTTCTTAGGTAAATCTGAGTTGCCCTCTCATAGCATGGGCTCTACAAATCTTGATGAGTTATCCGAGTATGGTGAAGCGTTTAAGCGTGGAGATTTTAGTTTAGATGATATTGAACGACTGTATAAAGCCTGGCATGAAAGAAATAGAGATGCTTCTTCCTCCTCTATCAAGGAACGAAAGGTAACATTTATTCTGTACTGTCATATAAAGCCGCTTTGGCTTTAAGTCACAACAACTTTTTAAAGGAAATATGGAGACTTTTCAGCTTCATTATAGGAAGAAGAGTTTCAGGTTCCTCTCCATTAATTATTTTAAGCACAAGTGAGCACTTCAGTTAAATCACTTACATATTGTTAGCTTACTGAATAGATAACTTAATGACAGGATCCAAAGTCCTGTCGGGATTTGAACCCACATCAGTGATAAGGAAGTGACTCTAAGCAGCTTTAAAGACTGGGCCATACAGTTTTACATGCACATTGCTAAATGTATTAATGACAAAAAAACTTGTTCTACTTGAGTTATCTAAAATTAGAATTTAATAGCGGTATTAAATTAGATGTCTATATTGTATTACATTTAGTGTCCTTTCGAGAATTTAATCACTAGCTAAAAAACCAAAAATAAAGACTTGACAATGCTTTATCCTAGAAATGAAAATATTGACAGACCCAATATTGTTGTAATGTTTTCATGATTTATTTAGACCTATAATTTGTTATACAAATAGAAGCAAGAAATGTAGACATATGTCATTATATTATGGAAAGACAACCCAAATTGATATTTTACTTTATAGTCATAAAATCATTATCTCCCTTTCTTTTACTAGAAGAGTTTTTTTGTATTATATAATTTAGAAACAATTGGATGAAATGAAGGACACATACCAGAGTTTAATGTCTGTCAAGAAAGGAGGAGCTGCAAGGAAAAAATCAGTTATGTTTTGGAAAAAGAAAGAAAAACCAATTGAAATAGATATTCAGGTGTGTATGATATACATGTATATGAATATAATACATCTGAAAATATTATTAAGACTGTCAAGTAAAACTCATAATAATATGTACTGGTACCCATACAATTTCATGTACATATATGTAAAATCTTCTGTAAAGGTGATAAAGTTACTGATATATGTAAAATCTTCTGTTACTGTAGACTTCATAAAATGTTAATGATGAATGTTTCAAGGGATCTCCCAAAATGTAATGCATACACAGGGAGTACTTGTTTCTTTATCCTTCTCTTTTCCATGGTTTGTTTATGATATTTTACTTTTTAAATAAGAAAGAAAGGTAATTTAGCAGTTACAGTGAGATATAAAGGTTATATGGAAGATTCATCAATAATTATGTAAATGTTATATGGGAGATATAGTGAAATATAAAGGTTATATGGGAGATAAAGTGAAATATAAAGGTTATATAGGAGATATAGTAGGATATAAAGGTTATATAGAAGATAAAACAATATGTAAATGTACCATGGGAGATAAAGTGAGACATTAAGGTTATATTGGAGATACAGTGAAATATAAAGGTTATATAGGAGATATAGTAAGATGTAAAGGTTATATAGAAGATAAAACAATATGTAAATGTTACATGGGAGATATAGTGAGACATTAAGGTTATATGGGAGATACAGTGAAACATAAAGGTAACATGGGAGATACTGTGTGATATAAGATTATATGGGAGATATAGTGAAATATAAAGGTTATATGGGAGATAATGATATAAAGGTTATATGGGAGATATAGTGAGATATAAAGGTTATATGGGAGATATAAAGGTTATATGGGAGATATAAAGTTTATATGGGAGATACAGTGAGTATTAAAGGTTATATAGGAGATACAATGAGATATAAAAGTTATAAGGCAGATACTTTGTCTATAATTTGAATTGGCTTAAATGGAATTATAGTAACAGATCAAATAAAAATGATTACATGTGATTTTTTTCCAGCACCATGTACAACCAAACAAGTATGAGTCCTGGACAATTATGAGAGGTACTGCACCTCCTAGAAGTCACCGTGATAGCACTGTCAGTAATATCTCCAACACAAGTATGTTCATTTTATACTTTATACAAATACTTCACACAAATATACTGCATGTACATTAACATCACTTTAATACTCACATATTCACATTTTTATCTTGACGTTGGATTCTTGGTGTGAGGAAATTAGCTTACAGGGTTGATGGTTCTACTCAGATATTGGATTGTGTCATATGACCATACCAGTGTTATATAACTTAAATCTTAACCCAAAAAAATTAACATTTTATATAACATACTTTCATTATGGTGTTATAGAAAAACATACACAGTATTGTTGTATTGCAGATATTCTAATCCAGATTGTAAATTTAGATAATAGACATTTTAACTTTACCTTGTTGCTATGGTGTCAGCTTAGTGATGTAGTTTTATGAAATTATTAAGTATATTTTTCTGTGTCTTATACATGTATCTATCTTGTTATTTTACAGTTCATACTTGCTATGATATTAATACAACTAACATTAAAGATCTAAATCAGACATAATTAAATGATTATAAGTTTTGGAATATCTGATAAGATGTCAATTACAGAACTTTTAAACATGACACCTCTCTGAGAAATGTAAATTACTTGCTGAAGATTTGTCAGTAAACAATGCCAGGTCCTTATTCCTTTGGTCATTTGTATAAATTGAATTTGAACACTGCACACTAAGTTATACAGAAATTGTTCAGTTTCACTGACATACTGTTTGTAGGCTCATCAAGTTCAAGCTCGCGTGACAGTGCTCTAGGACCTGTAACAGAAGTTGACAGTGATTCTGACAATGTAAGCTTCTAGATCTATATATTTTTATTGATATTAGCTACTAATTTGGGATATCATTGGTCTGTTAACTGATAAAAGTAAAATAATCTGAGGTGATAATGAAAGTAGATATATATTAATATGCTTATAATATCAGTTGTAAAGTTTTTTGAAATGTTATATAACCCATTTTCAACTCAAATATGTAAGCTCAAGTAACAGGAACAGCTAAGCTTTTTATACATGGGTATATATATCACTTGTCAAAATTCTTTATAACAAATTTATAATACTGAACATTTACTTTCTTTGATATGTTTTTAAAAAATTGTAGAGGAGGTGTATATAATTTACATAAATGTTGTTTATCCAATGAAAATCATTGTTACAAATGTGCAGTATTATAATACATTGTAACTATATATGGTATTTATAATACAATATATTTTGCTGGATCAATTAAAATATTTTGCTGATAACATAATAATATAGCTCATGTGATTTTACTTTAATAAACTAAAATGTAAGACTAAATGTACATGTCATCTATTTTCTTTTCTGAATATTTGATGCATGTGTGTAATATGAATTATTGTGTTGGCTTGCTTGTTGTAACTAAAGTGCATACATGTAAAGTGAAACATACATGAAACTTACAAATTTGACGTTGTTAATAAGCTCTTCATTATTAACTGAAGCAGAAAACTTTACATATACATGTACATTAATTGGTCTGATACTGATGATAAAACCGGGGTAAAATTCTTACTGAATATAGGGGATCCGGACAGGTTGTGGTCTAACCTATATACCACAATATTCTGTGGATTTTCACTGTTAATACATAGAATTTAATGTTATGTAATGATTTAAAGTATTTTAGTATGATATAAATTAATTAATGTTGATTTTTGCAATATTTAACCCTTAACCTGCTAGAAACAAAAGTAATTAGACTTTGCCACCAGTATAGAGCCAGGCCTGGGCCAGTGTACTTCTGTGCAGTCTGACCAGGTTCTATACTGTTGTGAAAACCCCTCAACCTTTAAATGGACTGTTCCAAAAACAAAGCTGGGCAAATCCATTACATAAATTTAGCAGGTTAAAGGTTAAACCACATTTTTCAAGATTCAATTTATTTGTAACTGTAACTGCAAATTTTTCTTTCATTTATATATTTGCATTAAAATAGCATGGCTTTATGTGTGCAGAAATATATAGAGTTGTATAATTATGACTGATTAAATTTTATTATAAGGATGCTCCATCAGTTCCTGTCCGCAGAAGGTCTGAAAAGACTCAGTCAGAAGTAAGTGCTAGAGATCTCCCATACCTAGAGTCTGTTAGTCCTAGTGTGTAACCCTTTTAGTTTGAAGCATAGATTTATATAAATGGTAGCTGATGAGTCTTGCTTTCTGCTTGTGTCTGACAAGTTTGTTTATAATGTTATAGATCTAGTTATATGATGCTTGACATGATCTGCTGGTATTTGCATGGCATTGCATGATGTTTTAACTCACATTCTTTACTGCTACAAATATAAAGTGGTGCAACTGATATATTGTGCCAAAAATGACACAATAACTGACATAAGGTGCTAATACTGACATAATGAACCAAAACTGACACTAGATTAGACATAATGTGCTAAAACTGACATATTGCAGAAACTGACACTAAATTAGACACAATGTGCTTAAAATGCTCTAGATGATTAGTATGATATGGTTATCTTTAATTGACATCTACCCTAGACTGAGATTGAATTTGAAAGGGTTAAGGTCACTGAGACTAGAAATAGATTTTTCTTCTTTTTCTGATGGCTTGGCAATGGTTTTTGGAAGGCGATATTGCCTTATTATGTCATCATTACTATTTGCATGGTCTAACTACAATATCCATGCATACATGCAAAAAAACAGTTTGATGCCGATTAAGTGAATCGGAACAAAAATTTCTTTCAAAAATGTGATCGGAAAACATTTGTGGGACATATTTTAGGGCTTGAAAGCTTTTTTTGAATAACTTCATTCAGAACTATTTCCCCTGTAAAAACTTTCCTTGTTACAAACAAAAAGTATCCTTAAATAAGAATTCAAAATTTGTTAATCACCTTCCATCAGTACTCTTAATAAAAAAACCCAACTTCAATTCAGTTTTAGAAATGAAAATTAACAGCATGCATGTATGTAACTGATATTCTTTTTACTCTGTCCAGTTTCTGGTGTAACTAATATTCATGTTTCTCTATCCTGTTTCATGTGTATAACTGATGCTCGTGTTTCTCTGTCCTATTTCATGTATGTAACTAATATTCATGTTTCTCTGTTCTGTTTCAAATGTGTAACTTTATATTCATGTTTCTCTGTCCTGTTTCATGTGTGTAACTGATATTCATGTTTCTCTGTCCTGTTTCATGTGTGTAACTGATGCTCATGTTTCTCTGTCCTGTTTCATGTATGTAACTAATATTCATGTTTCTCTGTCCTATTTCATGTGTGTAACTAATATTCATGTTTCTCTTATCTGTTTCATATGTGTAACTTAATATTCATGTTTCTCTGTCCTGTTTCATGTGTGTAACTGATATTCATGTTTCGCTGTCCTGTTTCATGTGTGTAACTGAAATTCATATTTTTCTATCCTGTTTCATGTGTTTAACTAATATTCATGTTTCCCTGTCCTGTTTCATGTATGTAACTAATATTCATGTTTCTCTTTCCTATTTCATGTGTGTAACTAATATTCATGTTTCTCTGTGCTGTTTCATTTGTGTAACTTAATATTCATGTTTCTCTGTCCTGTTTCATGTGTTTAACTGATATTCATGTTTCTCTGTCCTGTTTCATGTGTTTAACTGATATTCATGTTTCTCTGTCCTGTTTCATGTGTCTAACTGATATTCATGTTTCTCTGTCCTGTTTCATGTGTGTAACTGATATTCATGTTTCTCTGTCCTGTTTCATGTGTGTAACTGATATTCATGTTTCTCTGTCCTGTTTCATGTGTGTAACTGATATTCATGTTTCTCTGTCCTGTTTCATGTGTGTAACTGATATTCATGTTTCTCTGTCCTGTTTCATGTGTGTAACTGATATTCATGTTTCTCTGTCCTGTTTGACAACAGCCTGAATGGTATCAGGACTAAATGAAGTAAACAATTTATTGTAAGAAGATATGAATGTTTTCTTTTTCAGCTTGAGATATATGCTCAATTACATTTATGAATGCTTTATCAACAGGTATTTCTAATTGTTCTGTATACACACTAATAAATGCAACTTACAACAAATATAATGGCCATATTTAGACATGTGTATTTGCATCTATACCTAATGTACCTCTTTTAAATGCATGATAAGTACATGTTGTAAGCAAAAAGCATGATATAAGTTGATCTGAGAGTCCATATATTTTAATTTATATGTAATGTTGTTTCTCACTCATTTGGTAATGAGTCTGGGTCCACATTGTGGTAAATTTTTTAATCAAGAAACTGGTAAATTGATGGGAAAGGAGTGAGGGGGGGAGGGGGGAATTGCTCAACTCACCTTATTGTGAATCTTCAAACCATTTTGGGAGTAACAGGAATGTCTAGCAACTGTTGTATAATAAAAAGAGGAAATAACAATCACTGATATAAAGCATGTACAGTCATACCTGTGTTATCAACCATCTCTAGATTAATATTATGTATAAACAAACCTGTCAATAAAGCCACTATTTTGATTTTCCAATTTAGCATGTCTAAAGCGCATTGTCAGCTTTTGCTCCTTTTAGATAGCTTTGATAGTACATGTATGTGTTAAATGCTTAGCAAACATACAACATTGCTTATATCCTGCCACACCAAATATTGTGCACACTTTAATTGTATATTTGTATTATTTTTCTTTAAATTATCAGGTAGATGACTGTTGCACTGTTGCAGAATCTTATTGTGGACAAGATCTGTACTTGTTATTTCCTATTACTACCTTAATCTGTAAAGAAAGAATTTGACATTTCTGGGTGTAGTAAAATATTTTACAAACGATAAGAAGAAAAATTTAGACTAGTGCAGAGAATTTTCCTTAACTTTGCATTTATCAGGGAGTTATGATTGAAATAAGTGAAAAACAAATGACATTATATAAAAGAGTAAAAAGCTCACTTCCAGACATAGGTGCCTAAAAATATAAGATGGTGACAGTTATTCCCCCCTCCACATCCCTTGCTCAAAATTTTTGTATCATCAATTTATTTTGATCATGATCCTCTAAAATCATGCAAAGTAGCATTCTCTGCTCTTTTTTTTGTCTTTGTAAAAAATTGCACTACTCCTGTAAATGTCTTAAACATTGTAAGTTCTGTTGCTGGATGATATTCGTAAAGATTGTTTCAGTGTGTAGTATGTTTGTGAGAAAAACAAGTTGGTAAAATCAGGAATCGAAAAAATAAGAAAATTTAATTTTGTAATAAAATTGATATCTGTTGAATTGATCAGAATAGAATTATTCTTTATGTAGATATTGATGTTTTGTAGGAAGATTGGCATAAAAAGTGATAAATTGACAGCTGTTGTTTTTAATCATGATTTCTTGATAGCAGTTGTTAACCATGATTTGTTGACAGCAGCTGTTAATCATGATTTATTGACAGCAGTTGTTTTTAATCATGATTTATTGACAGCATTTGTTGTTAACCATTGTTTTTTGACAGCAGTTGTTTTTAATTATGTTTTATTGACAGCAGTTAAGCATGAATTTTTGACAGCAGTTGTTAATCTTGATTTATTGACAGCAGTTGTTGTTAATCAGTGACTTATTGACAACTATTGTTAATCATGATTTATTGACAGCAAAGTAAATGTTGTTAATCATGATTTATTGACAGCAGTAACTGTTGTTAATCATGATTTCTTGACAGCAGTTGTTGTTAATCTTGATTTATTGACAGCTGTTGTTAATAATGATTTATTGACAGCAGTTATTTTAAATTATGGAATGTTTTCAATGTTTACAATTATAAGTTTAATTTTTATGGTTCAAAAATAATTATTTTGATATCTTTAAACAGGAAAAGAAGGAGAACAGGCAGTCATGGGGTGACCAATTCTTGAAGAAAGTACAGAACCGACCAAACTCTCGACTACCAAAACCACCACCCACCAACCCTGTGTACGTTCGACATAAACTACCAACTATGCCAGAAATACCTCCTAGACCTCCTAAACCAAGGCATTACACCGATTAGTGAAAGATATACCTTGTGGTTGATTAGTTTAAGCAAATTTTCTTGTTAAGAAAAAAGGTGTGTAAAAAAATAGTTACAGACATATTCAAAAAGATAGAATAAGAAAGGTGGAATGGCATTGTTGGGAGACTGGCAATTCTTGTGAATATGAATTATGTCAGCAAAGCATCAACATGGATCAGTGTACATTGTGTATAATGATATAGAAAATGTGCAATGTAAAGAATTGTTCATTTACTTTTATAAGGATATTGAAGTATTTTGTTTACCAAACCAGTATCTTATTTGTATAATTACATCTCATCGTGTATAATCAATGATCATCAATTACTTTTAAAGTAATTTTGGTAAGTCATATAATTTACCACACGTTACATGTTTAGTTTTTGCTATTCACTTTATATGTAAGCCTATATAGGACTCAAAATTATGCCAAAATACCAAAATGGAAACATACATTAATGAAAAGAGATTTATAGAGATAAATATGGTTAAGTATTGTCCATATTGTTATTTATAAGTTCAGATTGGTTGTGATTTTTGGATACCGGTAAATTTCAACTTGCAATGTTAATAAACAGGTTACTGCAAAATCACTATTATTCATGGAACACTAATTTTCGTGGTTTTCATGTTAAGACCAATCAACAAATTACCATATGATTATTTACAATACATTACTTGCATTTTATTTTGTTTTATATTTTCTTTCTAAAATACACAATCCACAAATTTAAGAACCCTCCTGAAGTTTAAACCATAACAATGGCTTTACCAGTCAGCATTGGTAATATAAGTCAACATTAGTTGTACCAGTCAACATTGGTTATACCAGTCAGCATTGGTAATATAAGTCAACATTAGTTGTACCAGTCAACATTGGTTATACCAGTCAACATTGGTAATACCAGTCAACATTGGTAATACCAGTCAACATGTATTTATGCTAGGTTACCAGCTTGTATTAGTTTGTAGTGAGTCTCTGTGATATATACCAAGACTAATATGGTAAACTTTATATTATATAAAAAGGGCTAATTATACACATTTTCAGTATAAAATAGACAATCATAAGTATTTTGTTCTATTTTTTGTCTGTAATATTTTATTGACTATGTTGATGTTGCTTCATTGTAACTAGGAATTGTTAAATACCTGCATGTAAAACAAATGAAGGCAGTTGTGTGCCAACCCCTGAAAAAAAAGTAATAAGTGACAACATTTTCTTCTGGTTTATTTGTTTAATTTATATTTTAAGTTGTAAAAATTAAGTTCACAACTGAACTTAGATAAAAAAAATTAACCCTTTAAATTTACTGGAATCTGTTAAGTCTTTGCCACTAGTATAGAACCCAGCCAGCCTACACATCCATGCAGTCTGACCAGGCCTTATACTGGTAGTATCTGTTAGTATTAAAATCTCATTGAACTCATTGTTCCTGGACATATAGCAATATGTTTATTCTTATAATATGTGAATTCTAAAACTTTCATGCTTGTATAGAATATGCTCTTGGCTGCTGTATTTTTTAGCAATTTCCTAAATTTTATCGGACAGTTTAAATACAGAAGAAGCAGGGATAGAGTTAAATTGTAACAATTCTCAATATAATCAGTGTTATAATACACTTTGGAACATGAATATGATACAAATTGTATAAAATAAGTGCTTGCGGACTACAGCATTTGCAAGTTTTATAATGTATTTTATGATAATTAGTGTAAATGAATTATGCGTTTCCCCAGTTACAGCTTTTATATTTTTATTGACAGTTATAGGTATATTGATGTATATAATTACTTACATGTAAAAAATAAATGTATTTTTATGAGATTAAAGTGAGACATTGGTGTATGAAATGAAAAAATGGAATTTTTTGTTCATTTTTAGCATTAAATGATTGCATTTGTATTATAACCATGTATGTAGCATTGAATAAATTGTTGTTAATTTGACAAAATATTATAGTGTATCTGTTATCTATATCATACAATTTTATCATTTATCATTCTGTGATTATGTTGGTCATAATAAAATAATTTATTTAAAACAAACTGTTGTGTTTTTTGTTATCTTTTACATGATGTAACAATTTTGATGATCCCATGGCTATAAATACCGAGTGTTGTCTATCTATCATTCTATCCAGATCTATATTATAGACTCAGTTGAAACTTAAGAGCAATGTAAATATGAATAGGGTGACAAGGCTCACCAAATGTTGTAAAAAATCCAACTCTGTCAGATATTGAGTTATGGCCCTTTGTTACTCAAATTCATATAAATGTGACCACCTTTTAAAGGTTCTCGAGTTACTGAGAAGAAAATTTTTGCAGAATAAGTGACCCATTTGGAGAAGGGCCATGGTTTGTATCACTTTTGTAGAGAGCCATTAAGAAATACTATTTAGAGGGGCAAAACTTCTGCAACTTTTTTACGAGATCCACATGCCAAATATCTAAACTTTAGGACTTTTTCTTGCAGAGATTTAAATGTACATTTTATTTTTCTCTACAAGTCTATTTGAAGACCATTTTTGACATTTGAGACTTGATGAAAACAAGTTTTGCAGAGGATTATAAAGAAAGGCTACATACAATATAGCTTATGGGCATTTTATTTTTCAAGAAGATTTGTTTTTACAAAGATTTTAATTTCTGAGTCTTATTCTAGGTTCTGTACATATGCATCAAAATGGAACCTTTCATATAACTTTTGTAGGTACATTTCTTGTGAAGTTTGGACAATCTCTACTGTTTGGTTAAAGAAATGTTCTTTATAAAAATTGTAGGTAACCCTGATGTCACAGGAGCTCACCACTAAAATCTTGCTCAAAGTGTACTTAAATGCTTAAAGTTACATTAAATAAAATATTTTGCCGTCGGCCTAATAACCAAGCATTCTACTGTTTTATTAACCTTTTTAACAGTATTGTTGTACATCTCATCAAATATTGTTCATAAATTACGATTTTAAACGGAAAACCCCACGGTAACACTAAAGTTCGTATACGAATTTTAACATGCAAATGAAGACTATAATCAGTTCATGTATGTGCTACGTCACGGGGTTATAGTTGCTATACAGAACAGCAAATACGAGATTTTCATGTGCATACACACTTTAACCGTTTTAGCTTCACGGTGCACTTGGCATGGCGTTCAGGAAAGAGTCATCATCTCATAAAAATATTAAATTTGTATGAAAACAACCGTTACAAAGCGTAAATATACCGTTATATTAGGACTGCTACTTATGGTCATGTTTGTTGATTTAATATTGATGTAAGGATGATCCGAAGGCGGAGTTTCTCATGCAAATTCCGATTTCGCCACAGTGAGGTTGCAGATGTTTATGCTTATAAAACTCATTTTGGTTGCCTTGACACCATAATAAGATCTGGAGTCGATATGTAACCAAATATACTAATGAAATGGCGCTATTTCTGTTTTTAAGAAATTCATTTAATGTAGCTTTAAATGAAATTTAAAGAACAATTATGTAATAATTCAATGACAACAAATATGTACTTTTGCCAATGTCATGAAGAAATATGCCATATTGAAAAAAATATGTTAGAGGAAATATTAGGGTGGTTTTTAAAACCTTAACTGAAATTCTGAGCAGAAATTAGGGGTACCCTGCTGAGACCCTAGAATAGCAGTGTGTTCTTAGTAAAGTAATGCTGCAAGTAGTTTGTACTAAACATGCAATATAGTTCTTGCAGAAAAAAGGCAACTGGAACATGGCAATAATGAAAACAACATCAACAAGAGCACAGCAAAGACAGCGCAATATACATGTAAATTTGTCTGAGTATTTAAAAATAATCTTTCAGTTAGAGACCAAAACAAACTTGTCTGAAAAATGTTTTACTATTATACTTATAATATTATATGACCTCCAAGGTGGTGGCATGATTTACCCCCAGTGCATGATTCATAAAACTTTTAGTCTACTAGGCAATGCTTTATGCCAAATATAGAGACATAGTATAGATCCACAAAAAGATGCGTTTTCCTTTACCTTAGTCTACATGAGGCAAGTAACTCCCGGGGCAGGGCCAATTTTGACATGAGGGTCATGATTAATATAACTTTTGTAGAAATCTACACATTGATGCTACATGCCAAATATCTAGGCTCTGGACTTTGTATTTTTACACAATAAATGTGTTTTTGTGTTGCCTTGAAAAAGGCAACATAGAGGGGGGTTACTTTTCTCGACGGCAGCTTCCCGCAGTCTAACTCAGTCACTAAAAGTCGGATTAACTCCAAACTTGGTATGCATGCTTCTTTCAATGACTCAAAATGCAGTGCACAAGAAACAGTATTCTGCACTTCTTATTTTTTGAGTTATTGCTCTTTGTTAATTTTCATACTAAGTACTTTATTTTTGTCATGGCCATTTCTCATAAACTATAAAAGCTATGGACTTGAAATTTCATAGGATGATTGATCTCACTGAGATAAAGCGCAGTGCACAAAAACTGGTACCCTGTACTTCATGATTTTTGTGTTATTGCCCTTTTCTAATTTTCATATTTTACTTTTGTCTAAACTATAAAAACTATGGACTTAAAACTGCATAGTATGATAGATCTCATTGAGAAGAAGTGCAGTGCACAAAAACTGGTACGCTGTACTTAATGATTTTTTAGTTAATGCCCTTTGTTAATTTTCATACTCTATTTTTAGCTCGACTATACAAAGTATATGGAGAGCTGTCTTACTCGCCCCGGCGTCGGCGTCCAGATTTCAGATTAAAGTTTTGGTGCAGTAAAATATTTTTCACTATAACTTTGTCATTTCTTAAGGTATCAACTTCAAACTTCAAATATATGTTCCTTATCATCAACCACATCTTATGTGACAAGGTTCATAACTCTAGCACCAATATTTTCAGATTTATCTCCCCTTGAACTTAGAATTTTCCTTAAAAAATACTATTTTTTACTGTTACTTCTTTATTTCTTAAGGGATCAACCTCATACTTCAAATATATGTACCTTATCATCATCCCCATCTTATGTGACAAGGTTCATAACTCTAGCACCAATATTTTCAGATTTATCTCCCCTTGAACTTAGAATTTTCCTTAAAAAATACTATTTTTTACTGTTACTTCTTTATTTCTTAAGGGATCAACCTCATACTTCAAATATATGTACCTTATCATCATCCCCATCTTATGTGACAAGGTCCAATATTTTCAGATTTATCTCCCCTTGAACTTAGAATTTTCTTTAAAAAATACTATTTTTTACTGTAACTTATTTATTTCTAAAGGGATCAACTTCATACTTCAAATAAATGTACTTTATCATCATCCACATCTTATGTGACAAGGTTCATAACTCTAGCACCAATATTGCAAGAATTATCTCCTCATCAACTTAGATTTTTTTACTAGAAAAATGTTATTTTTTACTATAACTTTTTTAGTTTTAAAGGTATCTACCTCAAACTTCAAATACTTATTCCTTATAATCAAATATATTTTATGTGACAATGTTCATAACTCTTGAAGTAATTTTTACAGATTTATTTCTCTATTATATTTTATGTGACAATGTTCATAACTCTTGAAGTAATTTTTACAGATTTATTTCTCTTTGAACTTAGGATTTTCTTTAAGAAATATTATAATTTTGTTACTTTTTAAGGTATCTACTTCAAACTTCAAATATATACTTCTTATCATTACATACATGTTGTGTTACAAGGTTCATAACTCTAGCGTGACTATTTCTAGAATTATTTCCCTTGATCTTGGAATTTATTTTAACAAATGTTATTTTTTACTATAACTTAATACATAATTATACATAATTGATTTTTCTTTCATAGTTTTGTCCTCCTTACTTCGTCCAGTATTTTATTAGTCGAGCTTGGCTGTCTCCTGTGACAGCTCTTGTTGTCTGGGCCATTCCTCCTAAACTATAAAAGCTATGGACTTGAAACTTTATAGGATGATAGATCTTATAGAGAAGAAGTGCAGTGCACATAAACTGGTACTATGCACTTCTTATTTTTTCGAGTTATTGCCCTTTGTTAATTTTCATATTTCATTTTTTCCCAGGACATTTCTCCTTAAATATAAAAGCTATGGACTTGATACTTCACAGGATGATAGATCTCATTGAGATGACCGGAAGTGCAGTGCACAAAAATGGGTACTCTGTACTCCATGATTTTTGTGTTATTGCCCTTTGCTAATTTTCATACTTTATTTTTGTCCGGGCCATTTCTCATAAACTATAAAAACTATGGACTTGAAACTGCATAGTATGATAGATCTCATTGAGAAGAAGTGCAGTGCACAAAACTGGTACTCTGTACTTCATGATTTTTAAGTTACTGCCCTTTGTTAATTTTCATACTTTATTTTTGTCTGGGCCAATTCTCCTACACTTTCAAAGCTATCAACTTGAAACTTCATAGGATGATAGATCTCATTGAGAAGAAGTACAGTGCACAAGAACTTGTACTCTACACTTCATGATTTTTGAGTTATTGCCCTTTGTTAATTTTCTTACTCAATAGGCTTGTCCAGAGCATATCTTGGTCACTATAAGTTTGATTGACTCCAAATTTGGTATGTAAGCTTTTTTCATTGACCTGAAGCACAGTGCTGAAGAATCCATCACAGAGTCTTCCATTTGATCTGTTAGTGTAAAGCTTTTCCATGGTATTTTTTTTTGATAACAGTTTTATTAATCCTGATGTCAGTTCAAATGCTACTAAAGTTAAAGGTACACTATAAGAGCATGTTTATAAATAACCTATATTTAAGATGACAGCTATACTGTTTACAAGGCGACACATCCGACTCGTGGAGTTCTAGTTCTATAATCAAGTGACCCAGGGCCGGCAATTTTGATCTCAGGAAGCCCAAACCTGTGTTCTGCACAATGTCTCATTATTAGTAATACTTCTGCCAAAAAGTTTTAATTTTCTTTCTATTGGTTCAAAAGGGAACACAAAATTTTGAAATTGATACAAAATGACTGTGACCTTGACCGGAACAATGTGAAACCTGCGCTCTGCACATCATCTCATTATGGTTAACATTTCTGCCAAGTATTTCAATTTCCTTCCACCATTTCAAAAGATACAGACCGGACACAAAAACTTATAAATGACAGAGTGACGGACAAATGACCAGGTGCAATGAAATTTTTGCAGGCATTTAAAAATATATAAAGAATATAAATAAAACATAAACATCATAATTCATGTTTACTTTCATATTTTATTCAGGGTTCAATAATATAATGATAATCAGTGATAATCTCTCATAAAGTAGGGTATATATACACACATGATAAAATGATATAACAGTAATGGCCTGCATTCAACTTTACACCAACAAATGAACACATATTTCAATTTATTTCAGGCCAAACATATTTGTATATTTGTGTCTTTGTCAATGTACTGTAAAATGTTAATACTTTCTTTGTTTAAATGTTGTTATGTCAAACTCTGCATACCCTGTTGAGTAAATGATCACATTGATGAATAAATGTATCTGATGCAGAATATAAAAATCACCAAACAAAAAAAATGTTTGAAGTTTAGTAACAGTGAGTTCTGATTTTTAATTAGTAATATTCACCTGTCCAACCAGGTTTCATTAATGGAAATATAATTACTTATTAAAATTAGCATTAAGAATTAAAAAAATTAAGTTAAAATCAATAATTTGAAGTTATTATTTTTTATTCTAACAGTTTTTGCAGTAATTGCTGGTTAAAGAATAGAACTGAACATTAATATATATCCACAATAATGATTAAACATGGCATCAGATATGATGTCAAGTTACATTATATAAAGCTAAAATAAATATCTAACCATGTATATTTCTTTCCTACTTCTCTATTATTTCTGTGTCTACAAGTTGTTAATAAAATTAAAAACACTACAAGTGTGAAAATGTCTAGTTTAGTATATTTTTATTTCACTTCCAATAATTTGGGATGTAACATAATAATTCCTGTCCTTTTTTTGTCTACCTGTATATAAACCATGATTAAAATATTATAATTATGGGTGTGTAACTTTCTGATTAATTATGTTTTGTTATTCAGATATCTTCTCATATACATGTATTATTCAGCTCTATCTTTTCTTTATAACTGCCAACGTAATACTACACAATGTGCAATACTGAATATATAACATGTTCAATATTTAAAACAACTTTTTTTTTTAATTATGATAATTTGATAATAAATTTACTCAAAATTATCAAATATAATAAGTTAACTACAGATGTATAAATAACTATGTTATTAACAAAGTTAAAGATAATATTCTATATTTGAACCAATCATGGAGCCATCATAACCCAAATCTGAGTTGTTACATACTTTAAGACATACGATGCATCTTATATAAATAAATAATTATATCAATATACAATATGTACCTAAGTATGAAAATATTCTGAAATCATATGTATGTACTGGTCAGTCACTGTAAAGTGGTCATCTTTCGTAGATTATATTGTCTATGTCCCCGCAAGGAGTTGGACATAATTAGGAGATGGATAGATAATGTTATTCAGAATGAGTACCTTTAAATATTATTTCAAGCATTTCTATACTGGAAATTCTTTACGATTCTAAATGAAAAGTACGACAAAATACAGGTAAAATTTTGTCAAGGTGGTTAATATGATATTTGACATAAATCTCTATGAATTTTAAAACATGAGTTTAGGCCAGAAACAATGTGTTATGATTGTATAAAACACTGACAAAAATGGAAACTTTCTTTCTTATAATTTGTAAAATAGTTGTTTGTATGGTCGTGGAACAACATAACATTGGTCCCAATTAATGAAATGCAACAGTCTTTACAGTTGTTGTTGGAAATATTTAGTACCTAAATATAATAACCAAAGAAGATTAATCGAAAGAAACTATGGAGCAAATAATTGTTAACAATAACATAACCATTATTGAGGTAAAGGAACCAATTTACCTTAATTGATCAGTACACTGTGAATTTTTATTATTAATATAATATTTACATATCCAAAAAATCTCAATATTGCACACTTGTCTTATTCAAACCTAATAAGTCATCAGTAATCTAACTAAAATACTAAAAACTAATCATTTACATCAAAATATTGTCCTTTAAAAAGACTTTTTCCTTAAAAAGTGCCTTCAATGTGTACAAAATAAAAAATATATTCATATAAAACAGTCACTGTACTAAAAATAATAATAATAAAATTAAAATCAGTATTTACTGCCCTGAATTACTTAGGTTAGTAGGAAATTAGTTCAAAATGTTAAGAAAAATTTATTTTCTTCAACAAAACCTTTTTTGTACAAAAAAAGATTAGCAGTACATTACATTGTACAACTGTCTGATCTACTAGATCTTATAATATATAAATTGAATTGTTAATTAAGTAATTTAGCTTAGCATTTCAAATCAAAGTAGATTAATCATGATGAATGATGACATTGAATACTGTCCTGTATTCTGACTAATATTGTTGTCCTATAACCCAAAACCTGCTGAATCTCTAAAATGGACTTGTCTGCTTTTGTTTTTAAGAAAATGCCCATTATCAATTTTGGGGATATCAAGATGAAAATTTTAAATGGTCAGCTATTAGTACAGAGCCTCGTGAGACTGCACAGAGGCTGGCCTGGCTAATACTATATACCAGTGACCAAGGGGTAATCACTTGAGTCTACAGCAGGGTCAAGGTTAAAACACTCTTTTCTTCCTTTCTGTGTATGAGAAATAAAACTAGTAACATATAAAATACACTCTTACATTAAATGTTTCTCTGTATATATTTAAAATACAAGACTTGATTGTCAGATATCCCATACAAAAAGCACTGGTTTCCTACAAATGCTAGTTAATTTAGGCAAGATTTGTTTATATACTTCAAAGCTCTCAGATCTCTGTGACATCAAAATGTTCCTGCATTGTTTTACTTCTCCTGACAGGTAAAACAAGACAATGTCAAACAATTAAAACATTGTAAACATTGTAAAATATCTCTGTATCACTATTCATCTCTCCAAATTATCTTACTTCCTTTTTTCTTCATATCTTCCACAGTAAGTTTTGCCTCACTAAGCACTATGTCTATAACTTATACTGGCACCATTTATGTTGCAATATCATTCCTGTCTTCATTTAATGTTAACTTTACATTGTTCTTTTCAATAAAAACCTCAATACTTTTTTAACTTGTAGAATTCTTGTACAATCATCCTTTACTTCACGTCTAGCTCATACTAGAAACAATGCACCCCAGTCTCCATCCCCTACCACCTCATTGTACACCCAACACTGACACATGTTAATATATACATGCTGTTAAACAGCTATCACAGATATATTTGAGGTGTGCTCCTCCTTTTAGCTCATTCAACATCGCTGACCTTAACCATATCAAGGTCATACATTCATCATCTCAAGGTCAAAGTTACCATGGCAACAAAGAATCAGACCAAAGTTGCAGCACTTTCACCAGATTATTTTAAATGACATTTACAACAAGGTAGCTATGTCAAAATGTTGTCAAAGGTCACATGGTCTGGTTGAAAGGGACTGGTTGCCATGTTCACCACTCTTATTTCTGTTTCCATAGGAACAGGTCATACTGCTGAAACGATTTCTTCTTCATCATCATGCACACCTGGAAAAATAAGAAAGTCCATTTTATGAAAGAGCAAATAACAAAAAAAAACTTTAAGAAAGATAAGAAATAACAGCTTTATTCCTAAAACACTATATTCAGTGCAATTCATGCTCAAATTAAAACCCAACTTGTCACAAAATTGAAGAAGTACAAAAACAATTCTGATTATGTGTTTTAATAAATTCGATTTTTACACTACATTTCTTGTTCAATTACAAAAGAGATATACAAGTTTGCTTTTACTCTATTTCCTTTGTAGCAGTATAAATTTACTTTTTATCAAACATTATATTTTTGTCATATGTATGTTCTTATAATAAGCAGTTAACAATTCTTATTGCAATAAAGTAAGAATGATCAAAATTTCATGCAAAGGAAAACATTCCACTTTGTTTATTATCTAGGAAAATACTTTATAAAATCATACAGTACTACAAATATGGTCATTCTCTTTCGATATAAATTGATGATGCCAATAAAAATAATGTGACTGAATTATGTTAAATAAATACATTTATCACTAATACACAATTAATAACAAATTCATATGGTAAATTTTACACATCAACATTTTTTGTAAAGATTTCTAACAATTAAGCCAACTTTATCAAATGACATGATCTTAGCAGCTTAATGTGTATTATATTTATATATAGTGAATAACTGTCTTTTTTTACGTTCCAAACCTGCCATGCATTATTCATGTGTAATTGAGCACCTGGGTATAACCTATTATCCCCTAAATACTTAACAACTTCCTCACATGTTTCCATGTGTAGTTCAACCTATCATCTGTTTCTAGATCACGTAACAGCTTTCTAATATAAGTCTAACAAATTTTTTACCCATCATGCCATCTTAGATTCTAAAATGATTCTAACAGGGTTTTGATTTATGATATTCTTTAAGAAAACTTATAAGCTTTTCAATATAATTCCAAAAAAAGAATTTAACTGTTTTGAGACTGTAGCACTAATGAATTGTATACGCCACCAGTATAGGTCCAGACCAGTCTACACATATTAGCAATCTGACCAGACTTAATACTGTAAGCTGCTTGATTACAGTTCTTAGATTAACAAGAAACAACAATGTTTGTACTACAAAATGTTGACTTTAAATCACTCCACAACCTAAACATTACTAGCCATGTAATAAAATACACTCAATCAGCCTGCTCTAACTTTGTATAACTTGGTTTTTTCCCCTAATATTATTAATATTACTTTCTAATTATTTCAAGTCTTATGTCACAATAAAAGATTGTTTAGATTTCAGAAATAGGTTATTTCAGAAATAGGTTACTAAACTATTTTAAGCAGACAAAATCTGTAACCATAATACTTATTTCAAACATCTAATTTTTCTACATATAAAATGATAAATTTACATTCTAATTATCAAATAAACATATAATTAATGCTAGAAAAAACTTTGTCTATATAGAAAACTCCACAACACATTCATCCAAAACCTATGTAAAATTATGTTACAATTAGTTATCAAAATAAAGATATTATTAATAAGAACACTTAGTCAAATGCACAAATATCATTATATAAAATATTATCATCATCTGCATTCACAAAAAACAAAGAGTTTTGAAAGCCTCTTTCTGATTGGCTACTCTATAACTTGTATACAAACATGGACTACAAACATTGTAAACCACAAGAATAAACTTACTTAGATGAAATAGTCATCATGGACTGGAATAACCAATTTATCTTTTATCATAATTTTGTGTGTTCAACTATTTATGAAAATAATAAGATACTGCAGCAAATATGGAAGATCTCTCTTTTAAAGATGTTTTCGGTAATTTTCATATTGATATATAGGCAATATAAATAAAATTGTTCAATAGAATTTCTTTTTGGTGACACTCAATTTTTTTGGGCCAAAAATATTTCTGTCATTATAATGTAACAACATGCCAAGTTTAAAGAAATTATGTTGAACAGTTTGAATCCAGCCTATATGTCTATATGAAAAATCCTGAAATGTCCTTAATCTACTTCTTTTTTTCTTTTTTTTTAATATAATTTTCCTTTTTGCTTTGATTATCAGGGACTTTGTTACTACATATATTTCAGTATTTGCCATAAACATGATATATTTTTAAGCATATTGGAATAATATATGTTGACAATTAATTGAAGCATTTTCTGCAGATATGTTTTATGACAATAAATACATTCCGGCATCTTGCAGGGCAACAAAAAATGCATTGTTTATTGCTTATAACATAATCTGCTTTGTGCAATACTTTGACAGAAGCTTAGCATATATACAAATGAGCTTAAAATATTAAAGACAACGCTTCAATATCAAGTAGATGTACAAGAATCTTCCTATGTGTAGATTAATTAATTCGATAAAGGACAGCACATTTCTACAACATTAAGATTATTTCATAACAAGAGTATAGTATCATGTTGCATGTTTAAAAAGGGAGGTAATTATTGGTATATTTAGAGCACACAGACAACATCGTTTCAAACAACTGGCACATACCCTGAGTATGGTCAAAATCTTCTTCCCTATAATACTTGTTAGACCCCGCCCACTGTTTGTGCCTCTGACGCGCCACCTGCGCCATATGAGTGGCTGACTGATAATCGGGGAGTGGCGGACGACGCACGTTTGTGTAAGTGTTGTGGATGTACTGACTGTTAGCTGTGAATTGGGAGAGAAATAGAAAAGCAAGGATATAAAAATAAACCCAGGTAAAATATGTTAGAATGCATCCAGGAAAAGATAAAAACATGCTACGATAATAGTTAACAAAGATAAATATGTGAGGTTAAAGCAATGAGTATGTACATGTGATGATAGTAACAGCAACCTCAAGCTGTAAGCTACCCTGTCCTAATTTAAACCATACAATGTTTCACAATTATAAGCATTGAATTTGTAAGCAGAACAGCCCAGCAATATCCCCTCATACACCTTAAATAAACCAATATGAGCCCTCAAGCAGAATGAGACACCTAATGCAGTCATAGAGCGGTAGACGTAAGTCATCAAATTTCTACAACAGTAAATGATCCCCTATAAGTATTATGCTTTATGATAACAAATCTATTTGGGTAAAAACTCGATAACAATGAACATAGCTGACTGTACAGAAATGTATTTTTTCACATTTTCTCTCTATATGATCAATTAGTTAAATCTCTAGAAACACTTTAATTCAGAATCACTGTAATATATATTTTACCAAGCATTACCATATCCTTAAAACTACAGAAAATTCAGGGACATTTCTTTATTTTGTGTGAAGCCCGTTTAACAGTGCGATTATAAGATAAATATAGGGGGCAAGTGTTACAATATTGTTGGTGACAATATAATGTATATGAAACAACACTTGATGTGATTATGACTCACACATTTCTCACAAGATTATCCTTTCTTTGATTGACCTTTTTTTATTCCAAATGATATTATATTAAATCTGTACATTGCAAATATCTATATACCCATTGCTTTAACCTCCCCTATGTTAAAAAGTGAAAGTTATAATTATTATCAACCAAAATGCAAAATTATTAAAATATTAACAAAATATCAAATTCTACATAGACATAGAAATCATAAAAGTAAATGAGAAATATTATTAATTAAATACATGCTACAAAAATTTAAATCATTGTAATGTTTCAAATGATTATTTCAATAAAAAGTTTTAATTTCTTCTACAGATCATTAATATGATAGTGATAAAAAACAGCATTTCCCAGATTAATTTGAAGTTAAATAACACTGTTACAGGCAACAAAATAAATCCACATGAAAGAATGAAGATGGTAAAAATGAATGCCCAAACCAAATGTTCATATTTAATTGTCAAACCTTTATGTTAAGCATACTGAATTTCTATAACAGACTTAAATCTACAACTCTCCATGTTTAAAAGAATGTCTTGTAAATATGTAAGCTACTGTAGTAATAAATTTGACCAATCTGAACAGAAAAATCACCTTGCCTTCTCAACCCAAGTCAATGTCAACTCTATAATTCAAATGGTTAACATTGTGTTGCTGGTTAATTGAATTTTAGGTTGCTGGTTAATTGAATTTTAGAATTTCAAAATTAAAATCATTTACATTGAAAACATGGCAATATAAATTAGATCAAGTCCATTTTCTTTACAAATTTAGAACAGTTAATTGATTAATAAAGGTTTTCTCTTAAATAAGAACAAGTAGCTGTTTAGTAATAACACAATGATATTTTACTGAATGACACCTGTTCCCCACCATTATAATGATATTCATGTGATGATTGTATTAAACACAAGTTAGTTAAACATAAACACAAATACTGTTTAACCAAATTATTATAACAATGAAAAATGTAATGGACAGAAAAATGAAGAACATGCTAGTCAAAAACAAGACTGACTACAACAACAAACGTAAATACAAAATCATTGACACTATGTTCTATCACTGCAGTCACACATGATGTATTTAAATAATAATTCTACAAATGAAACAACTAAAGTCATGCATGTTTAACATAAATATGACAACAAACTAAGATAATGTTTTATGTGCTGCTGACATTGGTATCACAAGAAATCACTGTCAGTGTTCCTATATAACATTCAAGTTACAGCAAGATGTGTGCATGGTGCAGCATAACTGGCAGTTTTGGTTTGTTTCTTGACAACTTAACCCGTGATAATATCAGGATGCTTATACCTATCAACTACTAGTGGCAACCGTATCTACCCACGGCACCATTGTAGACCTGGCAACATCAGCAGGCACTCATCATAGTCTTCCTTATTCAGACAGTATATAATTTTCAAATTTTCTCCCAAAATAATGAATGGTTTTGTCCAGATTGAAAGATGGACAAGTCCATTTTAGATATTTAGCAGAGTAAGGGTTAACCTAAAAATTTATAGTGTACAACAAGCAGCCAATGTCACAACATTATACACTTGCTGTGCTTGCTACATAAGATGTGTGATAACTTCTTTCATGCATTCTATCTAACCATATAGGCATCAAATTCCTCCTATATACTGTATGATTTCTGGTCATTCACTACTTGAAATAGCTATGTTACACAATAAGCTACACATTACAATTAACAGTCACTGTCAAACCAACATTATTTCCACATACAACTACATTTAGTTCCATATCATTAGTGATGCACTCATTAAATGTCATAAATGTAACAAAACATGCACTGACACACAGACACCCACATTGTTTTGATGATAGAGCTGTGAAAATGAGCAAAAAAAATGAAATAAATGATAAATGGAATGTTACAACAAAATGAAGACAACAACATAAACTAACACCATGCTTCAACCATTCCAGTGCTGGGGTTAAGTACAATGATGGTAAAATGAGATCTGCTGAATGGAGAATGAAATCTGTTAGATTAATTATGTGTGAAGTCACAAGGAAAGGGACCAATTCATTAATGTAGTACTTGTAGTACGAAACCTTTGAGTTTTAATTCTTCTAGCTGAATGATTCGGTTTTTATTTAAAAAGCAAAAATTATCAAAATTTCTATGAAAAAGGTCCCTTTTTATTTGACAATTCACACATGTATGTATATGGTGTGCTATTAAGGTGAGGAAGGTAACTGAACTTTGTTCTATAAACACACACCAGAAGTACCTTGCACGTTTTGCATAACAACATGGTACGGAGGTAGAGGGGGTCGTACAGACTGTGGTATTGCTGGTGCCGACTGTGGACTGCCCGCTGCAACAAACACACACATACCATGATTAAAAGTTCAAAGCCCACATAAAGCAGGAATACACCAGGGTTGTTTTACAATGAGCACTGGATTTTATCATGTCTTAGAAAATCATATTAAAGCAACAGACATCATGAAGAGATACACATACATTTGTTTATCTATACAAAATTTTATGTTTAATAAACTTTCTGTTAAGAAGACACAACTGGCAAAGATATAATGAGAAATCATAGCAAAGAAAATTTTATATGTTTTTTTCCACATATTTTTCTCTCTTAAAATTCACGATTTTTAAAAGAAACTTAAAAACAGACAAATATTCATGCAACAAATTATTCCATTCATGAAAGTAAGATTTTTTAGAACAAGATCAGGATAGTCAACATGCATGACTTTTGAAATATTTTTTTCAGATTTGACAGACACAGATAAGAATGTTTCAGTTCATCCACACTTCTTCCTAACTTAGTTTTATCTGATCACTGTATAATACTGCAGTTTAAATGTGAAGTTGGTCACTAGATGTGTCAACAGTACCAAAGTCATTTGAAATGTATTGGCATCATATACAGTGTTTCCAAACCACCATATATTAATAATGTGTTTTATTCATGTGTTAGTTTGAACTTAAAATCATTTTGCTTATTAGCTAAAGCGTATGACACCATAATATTAAAAGCGTTCTTTATAGCCATCCGTAGCATATGGCAAAATCAAAATCAAAAAGCTGAGGACTATCTTCCCTTTCTCATGAGACTGGTGATAAAACATTTAAATGATAAACATTTAAAGCATCATTCCCATCAATCCTGCTGTTCTTCATAATTCACCACGATGAAAAAATTAATACGCCTCTTATCTTAAAAGATTTCAGGCCCCTTATCTTGAGGTTTTTATACAAAATGTCAAACTTTATCATGCCCTGAAAATAATTGGATTAATATAATAAAATTTTACAGAAATTTTAAGAAGAAATGTTTGTTCAATAGTAAGTTCAAATAAATGATTTTTTACCTGACTGAGGTGGATGATGTGGATGCTGTGCCTGATGATGAGTCTGATGATGATGATGTGATGATGAAGAGTGATGACTCGCAACTGATGATGACAGTTTTCGTGGTGGACCTGGCGAGTTGGTGACCGGAGCTGAACAAGAGCTGTGGTTGTCATAAGTTGACGTGCTAGTGAGACTGCTAGAGTCTGACTCGTAATGTGACGGCAAGCTGTGGGCACTGTGACTACTGTGGGTACTCTTAATGCTTGCTGTAGGACTCTGAGATTCTGTGGACCCTATTGATCCTGTAGCAAATAATAAACATATATAATACACAACTGTAACACACATATATAATACACAACTGTAATACACATATATAATACACAACTATAATACACATATATAATACACAACTGTATTACACTACTATAAGAAATACTCTGGTAATAAATCTGCTATTTTTTCTGCTATTCATATTTTTGAAAACAGAAATATTTCATCTCTCATTGGACTATCTACTTTGATTTTTCCCATATATCTAGAGGAAAAATAGAGAGATGTTGAAAAAAATGGTATAAGAAATCAAGAATTACCATGCATCACTTTAAATATTATTGCTAGAAATGGTCTCATTTTTTTTTTTTTTTTTTAAAGTTCCTCTCTATTTCTATAGATTACACAAATATTAATAAATCATTACAATACAATATCAAAAGCAAACGAGAAATCTAAAATAATCAAATTTGAAGCAAAACAAAAATAGGGCAATTTTCTCTTAACAAAACAACAATATTTTGGTATAGTTTAAAGATACATGCATTTCCGTACAGAAACTAACAAGCATAATATCTTAAGACTTAGATGCAAACAGAAAATAAAGAAAACTACAACATCAACATTATTTATCTTCATTTTAAGAATGCTTTGTGTGCTACAAACCACGCTCCAAAGTTCTGACATTATAATCAATAAAGATTAGTATTTGCAAAATGTTTTTGTTTGTTTGTTTTTTTTTGTAAGGAAAATAACAAAAAAAAGAAATTGAATTAGCAAATTGTTTCATTAATTGTTATTTTTGGAAAAGAGAATTTAATAGAAAATTTATAAAATAAAAAAGTTATAATTTGTCGATGTTGAAAAGCTCTGTGTGAGTTTCAAATTTAAAGACAAAACTAATTTTGTCCTCACAAATATCCAAAAGAAGTATAGAAATTGTATTAGATTTGACCAGATCTAATTATAAAACAACAAATATAACAAATTTTAACAATATGTTCACTGTATTTCAATAATACATTTGTTGTGTATAATGTATCTTACCAGTACGACTAGGTTTCCTATTTGCTATATTACTAAGACTGATCACTGATGAACTCTCAGCGGACAGATGGAGAGTCGGTCGTGCATGTCGTGGTGACATCGGCTGACGACGCCCACCTGATGACAGGTTTGGACTAGTTATAGGTAGAGGGTTTTTAGAGTCGTGGGGTTTGATCTTGCCACTTAAAGCCATTAGTTTTCGAGTATTTTCCACGGTGGCAGCACCTGACATGGGAGAAATAATGTCATTCTAACATGCAACATCAACAAACATGCCACAGAATACAAGCGTTCAAACTTCTTCAGCAAGTCTTTATCGAACCTCAAGAACAACATCTATGCTCAAACAATTTATCATGAATTGAGTACCAATCAAACAGATTTCTGAACAAATCACACCTGATTTTGTATTGTGGATATTTCCTGATTCAAATCATCAGTTGACTATATCAAATGTACAATAACATGATGATTACCATCATGGTCAGACTGCATGATAATACAAACTGGTCTGGCTGTGTATAATGATAGTGACCAAGCTGCTGTAGCTCTTAGATGGAATGAGTTCAACATCAATTTGCTACAAAGCTATGATGTACCACTACACTTATTTTCTTTTATTCTAATTTATTTCAGTTTGATTGTGTTGTAGGACCTATAAGCTGATTGAAACACTCTCGAATCCGTTCCTGGAACCAGCCAGTACTAATGAGTGTAAAGTTATTTTCTTTTAATCATTAATGTTGAAGGTTCTTGTAATATTAAAGACTTGCTGTTACAAATTATTTATTAATAGTTAATGTTTTTACAGGGAATGTAAAAAAGTAAAAAGTTCATACGCAAAGCAAACATAGAACGCAAAAGTTGATAAAGCATAGAAATTATTTAAGAGGAAGCAAATTGATGGATATAGTTCTTGTTATCCTACTGTATTGTTCCGATGTATTTTATACAGTACACACAGTGTATTTGTTTTAGTGTAGTTCACTGAACATTTCTTTCCATTTTATGCCAGAATATGATAGTTAATTACCTAAAACAATCATTACCTACTTTAAATTTGCTGGCATCTGCAATTGCTGAACTCCTCATAAATTTCATAGTACATGGTGTACTCTTATATATCAAACAACACTCGGATCTTTTCATCTGTCAGATTTTTCAACAACCATAAATACAAGATCTAATTCCAATTTTGGTATCATAGCATGTTAATTCAAAGATGGCTTAAATTTGTATGCCAGCAAAATAAATGGTTTTCAATATTTATGAGACAACTTGAAAATGGGCAATTATTCTTGGAAAAAAAAAGGTAAAAAGAAGGTAAAGACAAGACAAAGGTATGAAACAAAAGCAAGGGATTATTAATATAGTAGTTACCAAATTTAGGCCCTGTATAGATAGGCTTCTTTTCCTCACTGGACACACTTGATGAGCTAGCACTTAGGTTAGGGGAGGATTCCGGCTTCTTTGCTGTAATAATACATACATTGTATCACAAATAACATATGTAAATAATTTATATAAAAATAACATTATTGCTTTTTATTAAATGCTTTTCGGTGGTTTATAGAAATATATCAGTGATATAAACCTGGTAATTTCACTGTTTTAAACAGTGAAATTACCACTTTGATAATTTCACTGTTTTGAATTTAAGCCCCTTACGTTGTTTCAGCGAAATACCAGCGTGCACAGTACTGGGTACCAACTTAATGACGTGACGTCGTAAATGACGTCCCGTTGTATTATTATTTGGCGCGCTTTTCATTCAGTATTAGGTTTAATGTCTTTTTAAAAACGTTTCTTTGCATATAATAAAAAGAAAATTTGTTTAGTTTAGTGTAAGATCGAAATATATTTCACCTTGTGAACACCAAAAGTTCATATTTCACTTGTGGCTATGCCACTCGTGAAATATATCTTTTGGTGCTCACTCGGTGAAATATATTCCGATCTACACTGAACTAAACAAATATCCTCTATGTATTAAATTTCTTTGTCTATGTCTCAGAAATTCTATTATTGTAATTTCATGTTTTGAATAAATACAATTATCATTGATCATTTTAAAAAAAATTGTAAAATAGCTTTGGCAAAAAATATCAAAAGTATCATACATGTACTTTGGATATATTTTGCCTAGAGCTATTTTTATACAAAAGCTTTAAAATGGCTGATGATTACTATTTGTATACATTATATAGTCATTTAATAGAGAAAAAACAACAACTGCAATTCAGCAAAGCTAAGGCTTTTTGAAGTTGATACAAAACTTATTTAAGTATTTGAAGTATTTGAAACATTTCATTCATTTACAAGAAGAATGATATTTTGTGTATTACCTGGAGGTTCACACTGATTAGATAATTCAGCCAGTTTATCTTCATCTCTTATACTAGGTATATTACTAAGGTATGATTTTACACGACGTGTCATCTGGGCCTCGTCATACATCTTCCTTGCATTTGGAACAGCTGAGGCACGTCGATTTTTGGAACGTTTTATCGTTGCTACACCGAATATGAGTGAACTGTCGTACTCACTTGGTGTATTCAAGTACATCGTGTTAACATCCTGTATGTTGGTTACAAAAATACATTTATACCAGAGAAAAAAAATGTTATCTTGTTGTTATTTTTTCAGTTCAATTTCTCCAATGTGTTTCTGTATGACACATTTCCAGAAGTGACACTCTTACTGTTTTAAAGCATGAAGACTTTCTCTTGCTGAGAAAATACATGGGAAAATACACCCCTACTTTGAGATAATTAAAAGCATAAAATATCTAGAACTTGAGCATATATGTTTCTTCTATATTACAGAATGATGCACAAATACTAGTATTATTTGTTTCAGTTTTTCTTTTTAAGATAATGCTAGTTGTATTCAATAAAACTGGACCCAACTCAATATTATAGAAAATCATTATTTGAACATTTCAAATTTGAAATCTGGAGAGAACGGATGTTTATAATAACTTACATATTTGGGTGAGCACATGTTACATATGTGACGGATTTCCTTAGCAACCATACGTAGCTTCTCAAAGTTGACCAGTCCATCAACCTTGGAATCATTACCAAGGTCAATGAATGTCAAATCTTTATTGACTACTGGGAAAAATGGTATCTGAAAAAGTCAAGAAACTTAACTAATATGTAATACAAATGAGGTAAAAATGTAGTTACTTTATGGTAGTATGAAACAATATGAATAAAAAATACTTTCTTTCTACTGGTTATGAAATTAAAGTTTATTTAATCTTAAACAAAGAACTTTTAAATGCATTCCTGTAACCAACTTGTATTACAAATAAACAACTTTATTAACAAGTGTGGGAAAAATGGACAAAACCATCTCCTGTTAATTAAGTGGGAAGAACAGAGTCAACATTATTAGTGTGTACATGATAACTTACCGTAGGTGGTTGTACAAACTGACTGGATAAGAGATTCCTGTATTTGGACATGTTCCTTGAAGGATCCATCAGATCTAACATACTCTATAACAATAAATTAACACACAATATATAACAGTATATTGTTTACTGGTGGTTAACCATAATAATAATGTCATATTATCTATACCTACAATATCAAACAATCTACAAAGACACTCGGAAATATCTGTTCGGCAAGTTTATCCTGTATGTATGTCAACTACCTTGTACCAATACTTGCACATATATAAATTATATCAAAATAGCAAACAAATTCATTTATACAAAATGATTAAAATGAAAGAAAGAAGTGATTAATTAGCCTTTGCTTCTAGTATACAGCCAGGCCAACCGCAGCATCCATGCAGTCTGACCTGGCCCTGACCAGGCTCTATACAATGTCAGTTGAACAACGTAAAATTTTCATCTTGATAATATTAACAGTTACAAAATTGATAGATGGAAAAGTTTATTTAAGCAATTCAGCAGGCTGAGGGTTATCAACACAAGATGCAGACAGCATAACTTACCTCATACATCTTTTTATATTTACTGGGTACTTTCTCCCATGTGTTATGTAGTCTGGTCACTGATGTATGATGCAGACCACTTACTATAGCAAACATTGAGTTGAAGTTCTTACAATCTTTACAATGTCCTGTAATATATACGTACCACACTTCAATGACGATCAATAACTCATAAATATTGTTATAACTCTGTTTTAACAGATAGGAGATCTAAACATATACATTATATATAACTTCTTCTTCCATTCCATTTAATTAATATGAAAAAGAATAATCCTATGTTTTTATCACTTTCCATTCTGCTCAAGGTCAATTGATCAAATTAATCTACTTGTGCCAAAGATATATAATGGCTATATTCTTTCACCTGTGATGCTGAAAAATCTTCTCATACAGTCAACCTAATCAGTGTCACTTTAAATCAAATAATACTTAGATAATTTCATTCAAATGAAATACAAACTTGATGGGAACTTACTTGCTATTTTGATGAAATGTTTGATGCTTTTCATCCGTTTGACTAGATTATTCTCTGAACATATCTCTGTGACTACCCAAAACATCTCCTTGTTCACAAGCTAGAAATGACATATATAATATACCCATATAATACAAAATATCCATACATTGATAATCATATCATCAGTGTATAAAACAATATATCCCTTTAAAATTATAACAAATGATAACATAATAATAATTGCTTTAGATTATTTCTGCTAGAAAAAGACAATGTTATAGCCATGTTCAAAATTATAATCTAATTTATTATAGAGACAATAAAATATTTCACCTCTTCAAATTTCATCAGATTTGGACAGCCAAATTTAGAGGGAAGGTTAAATATTCTGTCGACATATTCTGTATCTTGGACCTGCTTGAAAATGTTGAAATCTTCTAATGTAAGTTGTGATGCCACTTCTAATGTATTGAGCTGCGTGAGGCTGATCTGTGCTTCCTTAATTAGGTCACCCATCAGCTCGTCTGGCACGAGAGGCTCTGTGCTCATGTTGTTCTTTAAGTAATACCTGAGTACACATGGGAGAGCTCTCCTAAGTAAATTATGACAGAAAACAACAACAATATTAACCTTTGAACCCTGGCCTTCTGCTGCTGAGGAATTGTGGGTAAGTTAGACAACATGTAACAAGATATTTGATTGGTTGGTTATCTATGCAAGTGGAAGATGAAAGCATAAAAAAATCAAACATAACATTCAAAACAAAAACACTTTATGCTTTAATCTTGCACATTATAATTATATTATAAAATGTTGTAATAGATCAACAGACACTGTTCAGTCATGTTCAATATCTATAATGCTAGAAAACAACAAACTCCACATTCAAACAAAGCTTCCCCAAAATACATTTCACAATACTAATAATGTATAGTTAAATAGTTATTGTATTGTCTTAATAAAACAACGACATTAATTTATATTTTAGTGATCTGAAATTATATGCTAATGTTTCCTCACAGAATGTAAGTAGAAACACACAACTATTTGATTTTGTTTTTATCACATTAATACACAGTCAGGAAGCACTAATTAAGAACTCACCATTTTCTATAAATAAAAACATAAGCAACGAAATCTTGTTCTTTTTTTTTCAACTGAGAAATTCATTTTCAAAGAAATTTTGCTGGAATTTTACAGTTTCATAATTAACATTGACTGATCAGTGTCTCACCATATATATCTAGGGGTGCTTTCTTCACAGTTAGCAGGTTAGCTAAATCAAGTCAATATCATCAAATAAATGTGAATCTACACTTTGTATAAATGATTTACTGTAGCCTTATACAGTCGGTCTGTCTAGCATATAGAATGATATGTGAGGCTTTTACTAAATATTTTACAAAAATAAACCCAGGAAAAGTGAACTGTGCATGCGCAACCATATCTCAGGTAAGTCCCGAAACGAAATTCTTTCACAAAAAAGAATAATATAGTTCTATGTTACATTACATGAATTACCTGATAGATTTAATGTCAATGATTCACATTTATTGGATATGTAGACAATTTTAAGTTAGCATTTCTACAATTTGACATGTTTATTAATGGTGGAATATTTTAGTGCTCAAACAAATTTATTCTCACAACTTAAAACATACCAGATAACTCAAAACAAAAAATCATGTCAGTGATGAAGAAGATGAATGATGAAGTTAGATATGAAAGAAAATAATGATTGCAGTTATGATGATGATGATGAAAGACAAATAGATATTGATGATGATGATGAAAGTGATGATGATGATAGTATTGCATGATGAAGAAAGACAAATCAATTATGAAGAAGAAGATGCAAGTAATAAAGATGACTCCAATATTGTCAGGGATAATGGCAACAATCTGATGATACAAATGGTGCAGACAGTAATGTTCTTGTGTTCTTTAACAAGTAGCTATTGCCATTGTCTTGATGCAAACATTAAGGTGAGTGTATGATGGGTGAATGAACAATGTATGTTAAAATGAGAATAATTTAAACATCAATGATAGTTATCATAAAGCTAAGATGATGAAAAAGTTAGAAATGATGATGATGATAATGATTATAAAGATGAAGAGATTTCACAATGATTTAAGAACCAGTAGAAATATGAAATGCATAAGAAAACAACAACGAAAAATCATGAAATTCAAAACGAAACTGAAAAGTTAAGAACACAACATTGATAAAACACAATGTGCAATTTTTAGTGTTAAATTCTAACTACAGTTATGATATTGATATAGTTTATATATTGATGATTTACATTTTGATTTATACATTACAAGTCAATTTTTACAAATATCTTTCACAATATGAATGTTTTTTCATGTTACCTAGCAACCATATTACCAAAATCATAATTAGAACCTTTTGAATTCAAGTTCATATTAGATGAAATGCAGAAAAAAATGATTTCAACTGTATGGCAGAATTTATTTCATAAAAGATCAAATTATTTTTCTATTACAACATAAAATGGCCGAGCCAGATCGTAAAAGACAAATTATTGGTATGTGGACAGCCAAAAAAGTTAACTTTTCATAATTATTAATTAAATGTATAATTAATTCATTGGCTACCTCTCCAAAGTAATTACAACATGTTAATAATGAAATTCTGCATTACAGAATGTTACAATATGATGTAAATATGAAAGTAAGCAAAGCAATGCAACAGGCAGTAAATATGAAAGCAAAGACACATGCCTATATTATACACTAAGCCATCAATACATATACAGCAGTTTGTACTACAAGTTAGACTATTGCACAATTTATTTACACGACATGAAGTGGAAGAAAATATGCAGTTTTTAATGGCCTACATTATGTTAACACACACACTGACATACATGGATCACATACACATGCTAACCAGGCCCCAAAAAATGTTCACAGCAAAATACAATCATCATGCAACAAGTCCTCTATATAAATTATGTTTCCATGGCAACAGATGATGGATGTCACATGCAAAACTTCTACATTCAACATTGGTTCACCACAGCAAAGGGTATGATGCATTCATCCTTCACTAGGTTCAAGTATGAAACAAAAAGTACCAAATAATCTACAGGTCATATCCTTTCACCACTGAGCTTGTCTTCTTATCTAAATCTGAACTTTACAAAATATTAATATCAGAAATTTTACGATTTAAGCAACTAACAGTATAGAGTCTGGAACTGGAAGCAGGCCTTGCTCTATACTGGTTGCATCAGTCTGCTGTAATGAGGGTTGACCGCAAAACTGTTGTAAAGCCTTCTTTATATCGTATAAGTTACTGCAGTTTTGCGGTTAACCCTCAAAATATTACTGCAAGTATTCAGCGAGTTAAAACAAAGCTTACTTAACAAGTGTCTGCTAATGATGATGATGATAAATGAAAGATTTATGAATGAAACAACTACACACGTTTTTTATGATGACAAATTTGTCGTCAGGCTTTATCTTGCATGATTATAAGCTACACTTTTTATATGATGTTTTATGCATATGCTAAAACAATGTTTTATCAGCTTAATGACCTTATAAGGAAATCTAGTATTAAATACAAGATATATTTTCATACTTGTACCTATAAGAAGCTGATACAGATGCAGGTAATTGTGTACAAGCATGTTTAGGTCCCTACCAACCTTTTCTTTTACATAATTAGTTCACCTTTCACATCTTTGTTCTCAAAAAAATACAACCCACATTTAAAGCAGTGCATGCAACCAACCAACATAATTATCTGTTATTTATAATTTTCGTGAATATTTCAATTTCATTTTTGAAAAATCAAAAAGAAAAAACACCTACTAATCTCTAAAAATGAAAGTTTAGAAATTACTTTTAACTTAAAATGATAAAAATATAAAAACTAAATGTTGTCTAACATTTTTTTATTCTTAACCAATCACTAGAGTGATCATCCCATGGCAAAGGCCAAAGTTCAGAGGTTACATACCAAACTAGAAGTCTCGTAATTGGTTACAGTTGAAGATAGATTGATATATGACTTTTTACCTGGCACTAAGGCTAGAACAAGCATCCCTGTTAACAAATGTTGTGTACAATTTATATATTAGCCATCATAATTTATCAACTTATTATAAATTTTAAAACAGATTCTGTGATGAAAAACTATTAAAAATTCCCAAATGAATTTCAAATTTAATGAAACAATTTTATCACAATATTAAATCATGTTTAGATGCATGCAATAACAGTGTTGAAAAAAAACTACAAATAAACTGTTTGTGAACAATAATAGATAACTTATACATATTTTGTAATTAGAATTGATATATTGTGTAAGATAGAATATAAACTTAATATATTTATTGATTCATGTTAGCAATTAATCAAGCCACTTAAATTTGCTACTAAATAACACCAATTAAATGTAATTTATTTTATCACACACACTCTAGCCAATTAACTTTCACCATATTTGAAATTTGCATCTTTTTCCCCTCATATAAAAATTATGAAAACTTTTGATGTACAAAAATAACAAAAAAACAAAAACAAAAATTAAAAAAACGCCAACAAAAATCTTATTAAAATGAGAAAAATAGTCTTAATTAAATAGTGAAACCTTTTCCAATCTTTAAAATATCTAAACATTCCAAACTATTGAATAACTCAAAGGAGAAAACACTATTATAAAAACTGACTGGTTTCTAAAATATTTCAAGGCCTGACTACCAGTGTGCATTCCGAAAAAGTAATTCCCTAAACCAGTCTAACTAGTAGAATAATATATTATATTATAAATAGGGTATCTACCGAGTATATATCTATTGTATTATCTACCACGCCCATTATAACATACAAGCGTTAGCAAGTTAGAAAAAAAAAATGACAAAAAAATTTGTAAAGATGAAGAGAGTTTCTGCTTAACTTTTTTGCTTGCTAAAGAAATCAGAATAAAATTGTGCAGGACATAGGTATGGCCTAATGAAATAACTAAATCCTTCATTTTATTTTTTTCATTTAAGGACATTAAAACAAGTGGGATACTATGTCCAACACAACATTAGAAAATTCACACTGTTTATACAGAACAAAACCAACTAAAAAAGATAACAGCAAAGTTGAAGCAAGTGATTTGAACATTAAAAATTTGTAGTCAAGAATTTCCATTTTAGGCTAGAAACACAAGACATTGAACATTTCTTTTGCCAAATTAAAGCAATACAATGTTAAAACATTGTGTCTGTGACATCAGTGGTAGAGATGCCTGATTAAATTTATAAACATGTTACAAGCAATGTACATTTTGCATTATCTGTTCAAATCACTTCTAAACTAGAGGGTAATCTACTTATTGTGTGTATACCTTCCATTTAATGTCAACCTTTCTGGCAAGTTCTGAAGGGTGTCTGGTAAACGTTTTTGTTTTATAAAACCTTCCGATTCCACTGTTACCTCACATAATGAGAAATTGCTGTAAAATAAAAGGTTCCATAAACATATAAAGCAATTTTAGTGTTTTTTTTTTTATTTTGTTATAAGTTACATTTATTCTATTATGTTCACAATGTCAATTTCCGGCTGTCATAAGCGGACATCTGAGTAGAGCCACTGACCCTTTGTAAACTAACTTGACAACTGCCTCACATGAAATAATAGGAAGTCCCTGGTGGACTTTGGCTCTACAGCAATGGGAGGCTATTTAGCATATTTTTACCACTCAGTCAGGGTAACCTTTTTGATTCATTAAATAATTTTAAAATACTATTAAAGTTGTTCAGTATTACTGTATTTGAACTTAGCGACAAGTTGATGGGAAAAACAGTAACAGTTCCAGGATTTGCTTCCACTATCCCACTCTTCAAAGATATGTCATCTATATACTCAAAATATCAGCCCTTAAAAATCTGTTGTATAAGTATTATTTGACCTGTATCAATATATATTGTAATTTTTGACAATCTTCAGAACTAACTTTACAGAAGGAATGACATGAAATTATAATCAAACAATACTAGTATAACTGCATAGGAAGTATGGTAGATTTTTACCTGCTTGGATCAGTAATACCAAACTCTCGCAATGATAACATTACCACTTCTTTTGCTGTAGTTTCCTGTAAAACATCACGTGTAAATAAATGAATAATTAGGTTCCAATATTTTCCATTCTTTAATGTTCAAAAGACCGCTACTAAAAGAACTAATATTTTTATTGCTTTGCTTTATATTTCACTTACAGTAAAGGCATCAAATTACAACCAATAAAAGCAAATTACAAATGATGAAAGCATCAAATTACAACCAATAAAGGCAAGTGTTAATCTTTTATGCAGGTAGTTATCCATTTATAATAAATAAATATGTCAAAGAAAAAAATGCAAGCAGATCCCACACTCTTGGTAGATATTAAGATTTTCATTGTCTTAGTTTGCAATTAATACATTTATTACAAATAATTGCTACATTGCAATATGACTGATTCAACCACAAATCAACTGTAACTTTTAATAACGGGTATAAAATAATCATACAAATTTGCAACTTCTTTTTACACATAGAAAAAGAATCATTACACTCTATCATTACCAGACTTTGTGTTCAATGTGTAAACAATTTTGTACCTTATGTATGAGTAAATATTTGAAAGACTGATCAGATCTGTACACTTTAACGACATGTTCGGGGTACTCGACTGGTTTGTCGTCTGCTCCAAGATTAGCAGACGACAAGTCTGGATTACTGGCACTGAGGTGATTGGACATTCCAGTATTGGAAGATGATCCTGATGATGTTGATGATTTTCGAGATAAACCATGAGTCGAAAGATTCTCATCAGAGTGATTTAATGATAAATCACTACAATATAAACAAAACATTGTGTAAACAAAACATACTTTCTAAACAATAAGACATACATACCCTGATCTAAAAATATAAGTGCAAAATTCCCATTTGAGGACAAATACTTTCTCAAATAAAGATTTTCAGTTTTTGTTTTATCTCCTTTTAGCATCCAAAACAATATAACTTAAAACATTTATAAATTTTATATAAATAATGCAATATCTATCGACAGGCCCACAATATTGTTAACCTTTTTCAAAAAAAATTCTTTCATTATAATGCATAAATATATTAATTATGTATGTAAATATATAACTGTTATATATGGCTATGTAAGAATGTTATCATTCTATCACCATGGAGATACAGACCTATTCATACTACTAGCACTCATGTTTCGGGGGAAGAAATTGCGTAGAGCTTTCCTGAGCCGTGGTTTACTGCTAGCTATTGTCATCATAAAACTTTTATCCTTTTTATGTGAATTGTTCTTTTTATTAAAATCCTGAGGTGATGGCAATAATGCATTGTCTGACAAAATTCCTGCTGGAGGAAATGAATTTTCTAGATCAGGGGCAGATAATCTCTGCTTGTAATTTGTCTGCTGAAAATCCATCCGTTTCAAAGTTGCATTCTTTTCAGTGTTGTCTAGCATTTCTTTAAATTCTACAGAAAAAAGTAATACAAAAAATAAAAGATCATTTTCTCCCAATATTGAATAACAAGCCAATAAACTCATTCTTGTGGTTAAATAGTTTCTAGTAATTACTATGAATTGTGAAGTACAGTAGCCTGAATGTCCTCATAGGCAATATATCAAACATAAAATCTTTTCCTTTAATAAGAAGTTTCTAACTAAATATTAGATTTATGAATGATAAACCAGGCAACTTTAACAATGTGGTGTACCTTTCATCACTTATTTCTCTAATTACTATTCTCATACTTTTCTTCTCATTTTCTCAAGGTTTTATTCTTTGTCAACATTGTTATTGCTATAATTGTGATAACATTTAGAAATCTGTAAACAATATTTACCAAGTAAGTTAGATTTCACAGTAATTGAGAGGTGTGTAGTTTTGCGTAGCAGTTCCAAAGCTTTACTGTGTGAAATATTCAACATACTCTGCCCATTTACCTCCAGTATCTGAAATAAAGGTGCTCATGTGATCTTTTACTTATTTAAAGTTTCATGTTATCAAATCTGACAATTGCAAGGAGATAACCATATTATAATGTTTCATTTTGAGCCAAGTTTACAGTATTTCAGTCAAAATCTGGTTTCTTCTAAAAACAAAGCAGACAAGTCAATAGTACAGTAGTACATATTTAGCAGTGATTAAGTTAAATATAATCATACAATTGGACAGAGTTTCTAGTATTTTTTGATGATAAAAACAAAGCAAGTATTTACCTGATCTCCACGTTTAAGGCCAGCCTCATACGCTTTAGAATCTTTTTCAACTTTTTTAATAAATATACCACAGCCTCGCTCTAAACCACCTAATATCTGGAAGTAAAGTATTTCATCCCTTGTTGCCCTTGTTAATGTCACAGTTCGTGGTCGAGCTTTACTAGCACATGCAAGATTCAACAATCGTAGTTGACCAGTCATTCTCTGTAATATATAGTGAATATATATAATACTGTCTCTCAATGAGGGCAATAACTGTTCTCATTATGACAAATTTTACCCTTTATAAATCAGCCAATTTTCTTTCAATAAAATTAAAAAGCATTTATTTGTGAAATGACGGGATATAAAACTCGGGTCATTATACATGTTGTATACATTTCTACACCTGCTGACAGACAAAATACAGTGCATTGACCAAACTATCTTTCTATAATTCTTATCAGGGTACAAAAATATTTGATAATCAACAGAATATTACTCCACCTAAAGTTAAAACAGTTTATGATTGTACAAAATATGACATCATATCAAAGATTGTAACAGGGTTAACATATATCTATAAGCTTTATCATAATATTTGGCACTCCAAGTCATTCTTCAAAATAAAACAGAAAGGTCTTATAGCAGAATGCATACCATTAAATAATAGAAAGAAATAAAACAGCAACTGAACTTTTATGCATGCAAAGGCATTATTTTTAATTCTAATTTACAAATATAAGAACATAATTTTTTCATTTATCCAAGTTTCATTTCCAGTTAATTGGTTTTAAAGAAAAAATTAAAGGGGAAATCAACCTTTATTATTCATGATTAGGTACATGTTGGGTAGTTGTTAGAATGAACAGATGAACATATCTGGCAGCGCTTCCCTCTTTTAATATAAACATGACTTTTCCCAATAATAAAGTGATTAATAGAGGACATTTATTGAATCTCTTTTAAAAGATAACATACATAACATCTTAACACAACATATCTAAGACCATGAATTATAATTAAGTAAAACACTGAAAACACTTTCATTATTCCCAACCCTTATTCTTTTATAAGTTGAGAGAGTTATCATGATTTAGAATTAAACATTCATACATTTGTTCAGAAAATAAGAATTCTGGTTTTCATGCCAAGCATTAATTGTATACTGAACATTCACTGTTGTGGAGATAGCTGGTATATCAGGGTACCTGAGATGTAGACATAGTAATGAGCAATGTTAGAAGATAGGCGTTCAACATTCCCACTTACCGCTCTTGTGTATCTATCCATATCTTTCTATAAGATGCCATCATAAAATATTAGTTCTTAACTGTCTATCTTACATTGGGTGCATAAATAAAATACATTCAGTTATCATCCAAGGACGGAGTAGCTACTATAAAATTTACAGCCAGCTACTTCTAACAAGCCATTGTTTACCATTCACCTGTTGATCACCCAACAGTAATTAGCCTTTACCACCAGTATAGAGCAGAGTCAGCCTACACATTTATGCAGTCTGACCAGGCTCTATATTGTTGGTAGCTCTGATTTTATATTTTGTTATTGAAATATTAACTTTAAACTGACTGTTCCAAATCCAAAGCAGAGCAAATCTATTATATAACTTCAGCAGGCTAAAGTTTAAACAGAGAGCTTTATAATAACTGAGGAGTGCTTTACTGCAGTTAATCTCGAATCTTAAAAGGCAACATAAAACTTTATGGAGAACTCTGGTATTGCTCACTGTATCTGTTCTTCATAAGACATTAAGTTATGTATTGGTACATGTACTTCCTGGTTTGTTAATAATCTCCAAATTATCACAAAATTTCTCGTTTCTTGTTTCTTTTATCTCTTCTATATAAAGGACTTTGTGATTTTTTTTATATTTTGTTACAGTTTAACTATAAGGCACTATATCTAAAAATGGAAACAACAACAACAACAAATGTGTAGACAATATTGATGTATATAAAGGGAGGTAACTTACTTCTCTTTCAAGTAAATCTTCAAACTGTTCTAGGAATTCACACATGTCTGCATTCATCTCAAAATCATTGAAATGATTGTTTACCCATAATAGCACCACTCTTGTTACCTACAATTATATACATGTACATTATCAATATGTAACAATAAAGTGTTCTTTAACAAATTATGTGAAAACTTATCTTAACCCAATATATATTGCCCTTGAAGAAAACGCTTTTGCAGTAATGTTCTTTTTCATACTGAAATCCTTTAATGAACTGTTCTAATTTCAAAGCTGGTCAAATCTGCATTATCTATTACTTAGTAAGTTATTTTACACTTAAACTAACATTGTGCTTAAATCATTAATAAGAACTTAGTACAAGAGTATGATCACTATTGCTATAACATCTTACCTTTGCTCTGAGAGCAGGATCTTCAAACCATTGTAGAAGTTTATTAGTAAGTTGTGTAGGTGATGGGAGAAATGTACGGTAAGTCAGCAGAAAGTCCTCTACGTAGGTGGGATCTACAACATTGTGATCCTCTACAAGGTGTAACATCAACCTTTCTGGTGTCCCCTATATAATATAACATTACATCTTTAGATTGGTTTTTATTGGATATTAATTTATAATACTTATATCATATTATTTTTTCAAACAATAATTTGTTGTTGCAAATTTTTTAACTATCCTCTAATTCAATAGAAGAAAACAATCACACTGTATTCTGATTTGGTAATAAAGACTTTTCACAGCTTGAATAAGTGAGTATTAACAGTTGTTTGCAATATAACCATGTTAAAACTATTTATTCTTGGTCATATAACCTGGGAATAATCTATATAACCTATAAATAACACAAATACACAAACATATATAGTAATCATTTATTATTTACAGTTTGAAACTATCTCTACACAAGCAAGCTGTAAGTAAAATGTTTCAAATACAATACAGGTTATTCTTAAAGTACTAAAAGTTGCATTTTTTTTTTTAAATATTCAACATCCTGGCATAATGTCATTCAAATTGGTCATATGTAAACATTTCAACAAACATGTCTCATTATCCTGTCACATTATTTATTATGATATATAGTTTTATTTACATGATTTGTCATTTCCCTATATTTTACATTCTGCCAAGACACCTTCATTTACAAATGAACCAGAAATACGGCCATAAATAACCACTACAAGCACGTTTGCTAAAAGAAATCACATCTTTTTTCGCTCCATTACCTTACCTGGTACAGTAGAATATTCTCATTATTTTCATTTTAGACAAATATAGACATTAACCTTAACATCATATAAACATTTTACATATATAGCATTACTTTAATGACCTCTCATTAAACTTCTGAACTATTAACTATGAACAATCAAAACAATTTTCTCCACATTTTCTCTTTCCTAGAAACTTTACAACCTTGAAATGTTGATCACCTGAACCTCATGTTTCATGGGGAATAACAATTTTAGAGAGTTAAGGTCACACAGCACATTGTTTAAAATGAAATTGACTTGATATTATATATTGACATATATAAATGTATTTTATTTCAGTGATCACAAAACTTAAAAATGACCTTTTAATTTAACCTACCCGTATAACTATATGTCCTTTTCTGTTTCCGCCATCAAAGACCCTGTGTTCAGTGACCATGACAACTTTACCACCTTCTTCATGACGTTTTGTATTCTCTTCACCCTAAAATTATTTCAATTTTGTGTTAATACATGAATTTAAGTGCAGTCTTCATGCTTACTGCTGCAATTTAAAAATTAATCAAGAATAACTAAATACCAAAATTATAGTTTAAAGTGACCTAAAGGCCAAACATGGCCAGATGTTGCAATTTGTTATATGTTTTTCTCCTATATTGTACATAACACAATGTCACACTAATAAAATTTACTTTCTTATTTGTAGAATAATACCAACCTGATGAAGAATTCTGTAATAATCAGACTGAGCTATACACACAAACTGACAATCATCAGAAATTGTATGCATCTGTCCATGATGATACAGCTTCTCCATTGTAGGGGTAATACCGAAACTGTAAATACAAAATATTCATGGACTGTGATATACCAGAAATATTAATACAATTATTCATGGACTCTGATATGCCAACAATGTAAAATGAAAATTTTCATGGACGTGTTTACCAGATAATACCTAAACTGTAAATAACTAGTAATGGGTCCGTAGAACATAGATGCCCCAACATAGCACTGTTTTGTCAGTCTACCAATAGACAGGGTAACAATAGGGCAGACAAGGGCAAATCGTGATTGGTTAGACATGGGGGCATAAAAATATTCATTGATTGAGTTAAACCAAAACTGTGAATAAAACATTTTAAGGATCATGTTGTAACAAATCTGTGTGCTAGATTAAATGACACGGAAACAGTGTATATAAAGAATGGATGGTGTGACACCAAACCAGTATTCAAAGCATTATAATTTATACCATGAGCAGTTGGACCTGTATATATAATAATTTAAACATCACCATTATTTTAATTATCAAGTGACTTTTGTTATAACATTACTCTCAGAGTTTCTATTCTCTGCTGGTAATCACATTCATAGTTCAAAGAATGGTCACTAGAACAAGCTATTGTAAAATTCCTTTATTAGGTGATAGAAGGAAAAACAATACAGAAAATTATCTAAGAAACTGCTAAAAGTTAATATAAGATTTTTTTTTCACTTTCAGGTTAATATCAATCGAGCAATATCACTACATAAACAAAAAAACAACTTAATTTTACTTTAAGCCCATCTCAAAATCTTAAAGAAAGGTATTTGCAGCTGATAAATTACAATTTAGTGTTTTTGTTGTTTTGCTTTATTTTTGTTGTTTTTTGTTAATTGTCTCTAATTAATTTCTCAGAAACAAATTATTTCATCTAATACTGTACAATTAACAAACATCACATTTTTCTTAATTTCAATGAAATTTTTCAATAAACAAAAAGAAGAGAGAAAAAAATATACATCACATAAAAGCATCTCATTAATTTGATTTTGATAATGGAATAAAAGAAGTCTTGACAGGTATGGTTATGAGGAAATGGTATAGTAAGGGAGAAAAATATACAACTTGAAATAATGAAGAAAAAAAGTAAAGAAAATACAAATATATACAAGATGATATCACATTTTCATTTTTGCTTCAGTTTTTTGTTTTTGTTTTTTTAATGTTAAAGAACACTTTGTTGTACAATAAACAGATGAATAAAACTGAACTGTTGTATTTTGTCAGTTCAAAGCATGCATATTGAATTGAAATATCACTGTACAATACATTGAGTTGAGATTTTGAAGTCAGTTTAATGCATTTAAAGCTATCATCTTACCAGAGTTGATTTCCACGACCCTTGAAATTTGCTGAATTGGTTTCAAGACTGGAAGGAATATTTTCAATTTAACAATAGAAACCATCTTCTAAAATTTCTATCTTTGAAAAATTTACATATCAAAACAATGTTAGAGTAAATACTTAGTATCGATGAAATCATGGGAACAGTTGCCTCTTGCCATGCATTTAACAACTTTCGCCTCGCAAATAAATTTATTCATAAGTCTCATAAAGTCTAAGAGCAACATAATCTCTTGTTTAGATACAACTTTACTAACCTGTCACCTAACTGGAGGTATTTCACCTCACCATCTCCGGTTTCTATGGCAACACTACCATTGAGGATGACCGACCAGGAGTCCAGCTCCTCACCATCCTTCATGACAATAGTTCCCGCCTTCTCTACCACCGCAAACACCATCACCGCACACAGGGCCCGCCGAGTAGCCAGTGTCATGTTTGCAAATGCCTGTTGACAAATTCAAATAGAATGTTCATTGTGTCCTTTTAAATAAAAAATCTCCACCTTTGATCAAAATGCTGTCAAAATATTTTTTCTCTCTATCAATAATGGTAGATAAGTACCTGTATTAGCTTGAAAATTTACTTATGTCTAAAAGATGTAAATCTATATATGTCAGGCAAAAATGGCATAATGGATAAAGTGCTGTGGGTTCCACCCTCCTTAAGTTGAGGCCATAAATCCTCTTCTGGTATCTTGACTAGTAAGTTAAAAGAAGGGTACTCAAAAGTGGTACAAAATTAATATGCTCAAAGCTTTCAAAACAGACAAGCAAAAATAAATATGGTTAAACAAAATGTAAGTATACATAATTTTCTCATCAATGCTTTAATACACAATGAAGAAGTAAAACATACCCTAAAATGCTGCATGAAGTCTAGAAGTATTTCTATATCATCATCTTTCCTGTCTGCCGGATCTTTCTCGAGACATTCTCGCACGGCATCACGGACTGGCAATGACTAAAATATAATATAAACAAAACTTAGATAATAGACAATGATAAGTTAATGATTATAAAAGTCAAAGTTAGCATAGTTTACACAACCAAAGTTTGTTTTACAACACTAATAAAGTATACCTTAAAAATCATTGAAGCCTGAGAGACTTTATAATATCCAATGTTACATACAAAAAATATAATAGAAACTGAAATACTAACTTAAAATCATCACATACTTATTTTAACCTTTCCTATGATATAATTATGAATTTAAGTGCTTTTTCTCAGAAAATAAACCATAAATTATAAATAGTTATTTTCTGTTATCTCATCTTTCAATACTTCAACAAATTTAAATATATCACCCATACAAATCTTATAAGTACTGGTACAGTCAAAATTGCATTGAAAACATGAACTGAGAAGTTGATGGTGGATACTTCAAAACACAATTAGAAAACTGGTGTCAATCAAGTTGATCTTAAAGAAAAAATGATTTTGTTCCTAACAATTTTATTCCAACTCTTTGTCCAAAATGAAAACAGTATATGTACAGAACAGTTTTAATGTATCTATGGTTCGTTATTATAATTTTTGACGTAAAGGCTCTATATTATACAATTATAGACTTATTTTGATAATAAAGTTTTTCAGACTGTAGGAAAGTTCTTTTGACAGAGGACAATATAAAACCATGTCTTTTAGTGGCTGACATGTCTTTTTGCAGACTTGTGACATCAACTCTAATCAGCTTAGCAGAACAGCACTTACATGAATGGTAAACAATAGAAACCATATTTGACCCAAGTCGCTAGGTGGCTTTATTGCAAGCAACTCTCTATATAGGCTATAAAACATGACCAGAATCTTTATGCCAAAATTAATACAAAGTCACAACTATCTAATGAAAATGGGCTGTTACAAATGTGCATTATTATAATTACTAATTTACACCATATATTTCTTAATGACCAAACTGGGTCTTCAAATACATAGTTATGACTACTTGTTAGTTAAAGTAAATAAAAGTCAAATAATAAAATGCTATATACCAATAATGGGAAAGAAAATACATTTAATAAGATATTATTCTGTATTCAGGAAGTTTTAATTTAAATGAATATTTAAATATGGCCACCACGTTTTAAACATGTGACAATTATCACCATTTTTCTTCTAAATCTCCTTGTCAAACCAATGCTATAGTCATGGAAATGCTTATTTTTAAAAGTATCATACATAAGTAGTATCGTAAAGTGTGCAAGATTTTGTCTCTTCCTAGATTTAGTGAAGAGATCCAACCCACACATGAAACTAGAAAAACTTTCTCATAAAAATCCATGACTAAGTTTTGCTATTAATACATGATTTGATAGTGGAGGATGATTTGATCTACTACTGGCTGAAATATTCATTCTACCATTCATTATAACCAGATCTAATTTTTCTACTATTGTTCAGCTAAGTGGATAGTTATGACAACTATAAGGATGTGAGCACTAACGCACTTGAAGCCTTGGTTTTCGAGTTACTCCCTACACATGTAGGTAAGAGTGGTATCTTAAACACGTGCTTTAATCAACTTCCCATTGTCAAGAGCATGTTGTTTGAAATAGGACAATAGTTCAACTGTAATACTTTTATTCTAGAAACATGAAACTGTCATATATACTGTCCGTGTTTTACTTGACATTTTTCTTTTACTTTTTATGAATGGAGATCTTTAGCAACTATAAATTCAAGGACTCATAATTTTGTTCCTTTCTAATAAAACAAAGACAAGTACAAAGTGCTTAAGATGCATTTCCCCTAACTCATATCTTCAATTATCCATTATCTTTTCTTAGTGGTCATTATATTGTCAAATCAAAATTGCCCTCAGTGCATTATTTTTAAGAACATTTCCAAGAAATGTCTCTATACTAACCTGCATTACAACTGATTCAAAGTAACAGTTATCAATTAAATATGTGACTTATATCAAGGAAAATATTGCTCATATTGTAACAGTACATAAGTAAACTAAATAGAACTACAAAAATCCCTTTCAAATCTTTTTTAACTATCCAATATCCTGTACTGTAGTTAGAAATTTGACAAACCCTTAATATAGATTATTGAACAAAAATGGTTGAAGCTATGTGAGAAATGAATAAGGATTTGAGCGGCGTCACGACAAAACCAACATAATGGGATCCGCGCAGTCTGATCAGGATCCATGCTGTTCGCTATCAGTTTCTGGTAAGCGAACAGCATGGATCCTGATCAGACTGCGCGGATGCGCAGGCTCGTCTGGATCCATGCTGGTCGCAAACCCATTATGTTGCTTTTGTCGTGACGCGGCTCATATGATTAAGTGAGCTAAAGGTTACCTCTGTGGACTCCCCAAACCCTTCTTCATCTTCAGAGTCGTTATCTACGGTGCTCTCTGTCAGGTTGGTTGGGAATTCACAGTCCACATTTTCCGGGTCATCTATAGATGACTGCATCATGTCCGAGCCAGAGTACGCACTAGATGTGTCACTTGCTCGCGAGCATCTTTTATAACCGTACGATGTATCACGACCATTGTAACCTATCTGTATATCAGGAATTGTCTGAAAACAGAATATATATATCATACTGAAAACATCATTGTCAAAACAACATCATACACTTCAATATTTAATTATTACATGTAACATTATTATATCTGCTCAAAACAACTAAATGTACAAAACACTGTTGACTGTACAGCCTTTTCATATGACCATATCACATTCAAAACTGCATCCTTACCGTTCTCTTCTATCCTAATATACAACATGTAAAGCATAACATTTTATTCCACAATTGCAGCCTATATTCCCCTGGTTTCAGCCTATATGCCATAATATCTTATTAATATTCTGATCATGATGTTACAAACACAAATGTTCCCGTATAAATGCCTTCATTATAATGGTAGCTCTTGCTTTGGTCAATTTTCATCAATAGAGAATAAATGGAAACAAGAATCAGCTAGTGTTATATGGCAGGATAGTGATAAAGAATTCCATGTTTGGGGAAGTGTAGAGGTCACTTAAGCAGAGATAAAAACCTCTTATCAGAATCATTGGAAATCTAAAGAATCTTTTATTGATTATGTACTTTTATGGATATGAAATTTTTCTACAAATGTGGCGTATTTTGGAAGATTCTCCAGTCTCAATTAAAGAAGGAAATATAAGGCAATACAAAGAAATTAACAAACCATAAGTACACTTTCATTTAAGAGAAAAATCATAGACCTTTCCTGAATGTTTTACCACAAAATTACAAAATCTTGGTAAAACTTAACATCATGAAATGCCCGCAGAACAAACATTTTAAACTATTTCCAACATTTCAACAAATGGAATACTAAATCACACTTTCACCTCTCTACTGATCAAAGAAATACAAAAAAACAAGACTTTACTTTCAAAAAAACACAACACTGTTTAAAGTATTTAAGTAAATTAATGCATGGACACAAGCTGAAATTCAAATGAGGACCAGGAGCAGTGATATTATTTTGAATATTTTCCCAAGGATTTATCTTGTCTTACATTTTAAACTTAAGTTTTATCACAGCATTCTTCTACATAAAAAATCCCAGATTTTAATTAGCTATTGTTTATTCAATGCAGGTAGCTACTGTCAGTAAGATAGACTATAGTTTACAGTTTGTATGCCACAAATCAGGCTTAATTTATGATAAAGTGCACTGTCTTAATTAGATTTGGCAGACTCCCTCAAATTCAATTAAAATTTGATATAAACAGAACAAGAAGTAAACTCTTTTTGTCTCTCTCAAAATCCCCACCAGCGAATGCGTATATTGCTGGAGGAAACATTGATATATAACTGCAAATGCGGCTTTACTGGCATAATTAGTATAGGTATTGAGAAACAGTGCTGTATATGAAATTGTGATTCCATGTTTAATGTAGGCACAGCAGGATAAAAAGCCTTATACAATCATTGAATGTAAAGAATCTATTAATTACTATTATAAATTTCTACAAATTGCATTTGGAGACTCAGTCTCATAAAAGAAAATGTAAAAAACAAACTAGTACACTTTTTGAGATCTAACTTTACCTGAATGTAAAAAATTACAAATTAAAATAATAGATGCGCAGACTTTTATATTCAATTTCAAAAAGAATACAAAACATTTATTTTGTTTCAAATGAAAAGACAATGAACATGCATAAACTAATTCCTAGCATCTTGTTAAGTAAATAATTCAATTGTTTCTAAATCCAGATTAAGTTATTGGACCCCATTACACTTAGTTTTGTACGTGACTGTCTAAAGAAGATCAAATTAATGCTTGTAACAAACAGGAAGTTCTTATTTGTTCAAGCATATCGATTGTAACAGTAAGAATTGCAGATTATTAATGAGCAGTAAACAGAACGATAAGACCTTCTTTGTGTTTAATCACAGAATATTTAAACATACTAAATAATCCTTATTACCAAAAGTAAAAAATAATCCAAGAATATGCATTACAAGTAAAATTTATGCAAATTTGCATTGCCTGCTCTTTATAATGCATTGACAAGTCATACCATCATTGGTATTCAGGGAGTAGCTAGAAACATTCACCCTTCTGCATTGTTCTAGAGCAGGGGAAGAAGCACCCTCTTGGAAATACATCAAACAGTAACAAATTATCAGTTTTCTCCAACGTGTCTGTTTTACATCACGGAACACATCACATAACTCACACAACATGCATACTATATTCTCTCTCATGTTGTAGAGCTGAACCAGAATCTATCAAATCCCTAGAGACACTCTCTGCTTGTACAGACAGAAACTACTTCCTGTATGACTCAGCAAAAAAAAATATAACTATGAAAGGGATCTGTTGTTACAAAATATCAGAACAAGTTTTATGCATTCTAACTAAGAAAAAATACAAAGACTTGTATGCAGCTTCACTTTACTAATTCCAGTAAATATTATAATGCTTGCAGAATAGGCAAATAGATTTATAAATGAAGTCACTTAAAGATTTAATTTTCCCTTTTTTCTCCTCAATAAAATAACAATATCAGAGGTAAACTCCCTGTGTACATGAAATTTAAAAACATACCATATATTTAACAGGTGTAACATAATGATCAACATGGTGTGTGGTTATATGTATGTATGTATGTGTGTAACAATACTGTTTGTCATAAAATGTTTAAACAATGAAAAAATCTCTTTTTGAAATACTCCAGACATTGGAACACTTTCATATAAAAAAAACTTCTTTATATTATTCCCAATGAAACAGAAGTTCAAATGCTTATTACCATTACAAAAGACCTTCTGAATAGGGCCATATGCCAGATATCAATCAGTTGAAGGAAAAAAAATCTTTTCTGATAAAACACATATCTTCATATATCTGTCCAGCCTTTCAGAAAGTGTTTAAAGCAATGATAAATCTTATCTTCATATAATCACTGGAGAACACTGACCTGCTTTCACATGTCAAGTTATATAAACACAATATTCTGTACCAATTCCTTGTTTATCATTAGAGAAATTATAACAAACAGATAAAGTGACTGATATGATAGGGAAGGGTAGTTAAAACTTCTTCCTAGGTAAACTTTACAGCCTCCTATATGATAATGAAAGTAAAAGAATAACTTAATGAGACCACCTGGGTTCATTGTTACAAGACAAAACATACATAATTGAGCCGCGTCACGACAAAACCAACACAGTGCGTTTGCGACCAGCATGGATCCAGACCAGCCTGCCCATCCGGGCAGTCTGATCAGGATCCATGCTGTTCGCTATCAGTTTCTCTACTTGTCATAGGGTTGGTTAGCGAACAGCATGGATCCTGATCAGACTGCCCGGATGTGCAGGCTGGTCTGGATCCATGCTGGTCGCAAACGCATTATGTTGGTTTTGTTGTGACGCGGCTCAATTATAACATCCTAATGCTCAAACACAGGATGTTTGGAAAACTGAACAAACATTTTTTCATATCTTATAACGTCCAGATATATGTTAAAGAATGCAAGATAATTTTAAGCCCATTGATTGTTTATTAATTCACTTATTCAAATACTATTTTGTTCTTGACCTTTAAGATACCTTGGATTATCTGACCTGAGCAGCAGGAGGCAAACATTTATAGATAAGTCAATTTATATATCTTATAGAAGATGACTAACTGCAAGTCATTGAGGAATCATTTATAGAAGTTGATAAAGTTATTGAAGTATACAAATCTTCATTCAGGCTTGACCAGGAAGACCTAAGCATATATAGAATAACAGGCGGGACTGTACAAAGTCCTTGTATAATAACACCTTATGTACAAAATCGAAAGTCAGCATTTTCGTCTGAGAATACCAACAGTCATGCTTTCAAGATTCATTTCAAAATATTACATTATTATAAGATACAAAGAATTAAATCTTGTTTCAGTACATTGTGCTTTTAATCAGCAAAAGCCTGGGGAAAATGTGCTTAAGTTGCACAACCAGAACAAAAGGTAAATGTAAGGTTCTCATCTTCCATGATAAAAACAGTTTACACCTGAACAGATATCATGTCTAGAACCTGGTTGCCTGCTTGTTCTGATAGCAAGGTATTCATTTGTATCTCTCAACTCAGAAAAACCTGTGATATTTTTTTCAATGATAAATTTCAAAGTTGATATATTATCTTGAATGTATGACTGACAACAGTGGAGGTAGTGTTCATGTTGTACCAAGTTCCTGATTCTATCTTCTCAACCCTAGCTTAACATGTTCACATAACTCATTTCTCACATTCATGTCTCTACCTCACTGGAGTGGGTGATATTATCATACCTTGTTTTAATGTATTAAAGACTTTATTGTTTTGTTTTTTTTATAGATCTATATATATTTTTCCTTATCTTTTTATTTCTTATGAATGATGCCACAATTAATGCTTCTTTGTATTTTACATGTTCTAAGAAATCTTTATAATTGTTTTAAAGTCAAAAAGATTTCTACTAAAAAAGCATGATAACCTACAAAAATCATAATCACATCTTTTCTTCCGTTTTTACAAATAATGAATATCTCAGAAATGAGAATGCTTGCAAATGCATGTTTTCTTAGTACATACTTAATGTATAAATATATAACATTCAATAAATATTGTATATAATGACATAACATTTCTAAGGGGGAACTAAACTTTTTATCCCATAAAGAAAATGGGAAATTTCTCAGAAGGAATGTTACAGGTACATTTATTAATACTAACCAGATTGCATTCATACATAACAATATATCTCAAACTTTTCATGACAAAATATTTATTTTCTACAGTTTGCCCGCGGCCATATTGAGAGTTACTTGTAGCTCAGTTGTTATTTTTTCTATAATTCTATTAATTAAGTTACTATCATTGAATGCAATAAAACCTATTGAGATAAATCGAGATGTATTATATAAACAATAAAGTAAATACACAAGTAGTACTACATAAGATGGAAGTAGTAGGATCCATGGTTACTTAACATCACAAAATTTCTTCACTTTTTTTGTGATATAATTACCAACCATGATGCATTAAATAGCTTCCCATTTTTGCCCTCATCTGCTAATTAACTTGTACAGATCTCAAGCAATGTTCTTTAAAGCACTGTTCAGTTCGCCAACATAGTGTTATTAAATGACTTTAAATGAAGCTATACTTGGAAGCTATATTTGGAAGAAGAAAAAGGGCATTGTCATTTACTGGTATTTATAATCAAAGTAATTTGTAATAAAACAACAAGAACTCTGGTTCATAACAGAGTCAGATGCTGCTATATATACAATATTCAGCTTTCTCAAACTAGATGAACAATTTCAATACAAGCGACAATTTCAGGCATTGTAGTATTTATGAACAAAATAGGTCTGGTTTGATCTTGTGATAATATGAGCCGCATCACAACAAAACCAACATAGTGCGTTTGCGACCAGCATGGATCCAGACCAGCCTGATCAGAATCTATGCTGTTCGCTTACAAACCCTATAACAAGTAGAGAAACTGATAGTGAACAGCATGGATCCTGATCAGACTGCGCGGATGCGCAGGCTGGTCTGGATCCATGCTGGTCGCAAACGCACTGTGTTGGTTTTGTCATGTCGTTGCTCATATTGTTATACAACAGTTACTGGTATCATTACCTGTTCTGAGAAGCCGGAAGTGTCTGAGTTCATTCTTCTCATACGAATATCATCTTGGGGATCATACTGGGGTAGTCGGTCTACGTTCATCGTGTTGCATGGGCCCATACGGGTCCCTGGCTTCATGACCTGAACATCAGGGTAGTCAATCTGAAATAAACAATTATAATCTAACATTAACAATGAACAATAAATACTGAACTAACATTATAAAACTTTGTTATACAACTTTCACCCATTCAAGCCTTTGTTAAACAAGTAAACAATTAACATGTTATCAAACAAGTTAATTGTCAGTAAGCCTACATACAAAATGCCAACTATTTTGAAATAGATAACATTTTATATTTCAAGATTTGTTTGAGATACAAAGAAACAATCCTTGTGATCCAGATAATGTAAAGTTTACAATTCAACTTCTTCCTGTTTATATGGCCTGACCAGTGTTTATATATTATAATAACACCATTATTGCTTTATGATATACAGTCCTCTAAATGTATTGTTCTCTTTACAACATGAAACAGAAATCTGGTTTCCGTGAAACCTTGAAAGTAAAAATAACTCATGTACCAGACAATTCTTGAAAAACTTAACAACAAAATACAAGACAGGATTAAATTCATAAAAAAGTTTCTTTGCAAATGAAAATGGGTGGGATAACAAATAATTGTGTATAAAGGAAATCAACATTTACTTTAACAGTTAAATGTTCTTTATATACTTTGGTCAAATTAAATAACAATCACTGACCACTAATGATTGATAAATCCAAAAATATTCAAAATTCAAATATTCACCTTAGTAAATCCAAGAAGAAAATCTGACAGTTCTTTCACAGTTTTTCACAAAGTAAACACAAATATTTTCTTATATAAATGCATAAGCTGTCGTAAAAAAAATCAAAACAACTTTTCTGCAAGCTAAATATAGCACGTATTATTGTGACCAAGGCTCTATTACAGTACTAATTAAGTGCCATATGCAGAAGTTTGCAAGTAATGCTAAGTCCCCAGTGATATGTAAAGCAGAAATGTCCTATATTTCAGTTTTTCTCTTATGTAATAAATAGGTTCTGTATCTCAGTTCAAAGCTATTAGAGCTATTCTTGTTCAACCATCAAGAAAGTAAAAAGAATCCTTGAACATTGGGCGACGTCTATTATGTTATATAATCATCAGGCTCTCACTAACTCAAAATGTTTAAATTCCTGTTTCAAAATCACTTGAAAGTTAACATTAAAATCATTTCAGTTAACAAAGCACAACATAATGAGAATTTTGAGGGCAAAAAAGGGAAAGGTTTTATGCATACATTTCACATTCCATGAATTTGAACTGTTTTCCTTATATTTTAACCAAATTTTGGAAATTCTAGGAAATTCAGTTCCTCTTCTTCAGTTTTTAGAAATATAAGAAACTTATTTTTCCTCTTTCTGAGGTAATCCCTTTGTAAAACACCGGTAAAATGTGTACTTTTAGTATTTATTCCATTAAGATTCCAGTCTAAAAACATTAACTCTACATGTTGTACAATATAACACTTGAGCCAGTCCTAAACAATTTCCAGTATCCATAATGTCACATGGTAATTCTTGCAACAAATACAAAAACAATTCTCAAAATTACTTCTTCAATCATTTTTTCCCCAAAAAATCAGTTTCTTGTTCCAACATTTCCAAAAATATAAAAAAAAAAGGTTTTCAACTAATTAAAAGACAATGTTTAAGCATCTTTTTCTCGTTCATTTCTTCTAAAAACCTAACAAAAACAACTCATTTTGCCCCTAATCCATCAAGCAGACTCATGCGAGCCATAAGGTCTATGACGACAAAGGAAGCTAGGTACCAGTTATAAGGATCTTGTCAGCAGCTAGGCACCAGTAAATATTAAGCATATGATATGTTTCAAAGACGGTACAGCACTATTCTACATATATTAATGAGTAGGGGTGCTATAAACATAGATCATTTTCTATCAACAGGGAACAGATGTTTAAGTACATTTGCAGGTTTGGCTTAACATACCGTGTGCACACTGTAAACATAAAACTCTCGTCAATGAGTTAGTAAACCACAGTTAGACCTGCTACATAAACCCTAACTCAACTTGTCATGTTCAACTCTGTTAATGCTGAACATCTTCACTAATTCTTCACAAATATGCAATAGTCAAGGTTACTTTTGCCATGATTCCAACGATCTGTTTTATCAAAATTTACTTTAACACCAAACTGTTTATACAAAATTATTGTGTGGCTTACTGATAGTGAAAACATTAAACATTCTAAATTGATTCTAATTAAATACCTTATTAACCCTTACCAGATTTAATATATCTTCAATGGACTTGTCATTTTTTAAGGAAATTTTCGACATATGTATACTGACTGAAAATAGTGAACAGTGCAGACCATGATTAAACAGCACAGATTTGCCTGTTTATCTTGGTCTGTGCTGGTCTGCACTGGTCACTAGGATAGACAGCAGGCTAATTAAGGATTTTTATATATACAAGATAAAGTTGGCTCTATACAATAAATCTGATGTGAAAATGCTGGCTCTTCGGAGTTCTATTTCATTTCACTGAAATTTACTTTTATTGTAGCCAAGACTGATAATTCATTGCTTAATATTCCCAACTATCATTTCTACAAAGAATATCTTCTATTTTGTTTGAATAATGATATCATAAAGCTTAAGTCTTTGAACATCTGTACCTTCTTGATTTGGAGTATTTCAAGCTGTGAAAATTTACAGATTTCAAATTAATATCTTTCTTTCTTATATTTAACAATCATGTATCTCTTTACAAAATTTATCAAGTATCTAATGTCTTTTATCAATGATCCCTTCAATCTGTGTAATAGCATTAGTCATTAACTCTAAATCATGTTAATCAAGTTATTTTTTATATTTGACTCACAACATGACCTAATGACACATTGAAATATCTCTGGGTCAAAACAATCCTCACAGTGACATGACATACCAGTAGATTGGTTGATTGGTGTACTAGATGATGGTTGAGTATTGTCCATGTTAGTCTTTATTTACTTATATTTAGAAATAATTGACGCCAAAATTGACAAAAAGTTAAAAGTACTTCTCCAACAGGAATGTCAAAACCACAGCCATAGATTCTGGATTAAACTACTGTATCATGAATACAAAATTATGAACTTCTATAGTTAATATAAATACATGATTGTGGGAGTGTAAAAACACATTTCACAAAAAAAGAAAACTCTTTGCTCTGTGTATGTCAGAAACATCTGGTTATGTTTATGTTAAATATAGTCATTAATCATGTTACTTTTGTATTCTACAAGGACATAATTATGATTAAACATGAAAGTTGTCAAAATAATGAGATTCAAATAATAGTTCTTAATTCCTTTTAAACACAAAAATTATTTTCTTTTAAAAGTAAACTCTTCCTATTGTCTGTACTCTAATAAATTTTATGCGTTAATAAAGTGTAATGTCTTATAGTAAAACTTTCCTCTTACAAAAAGTGCATTTTGGTATTATCCTAAACCTAATAAATAGAACAAAATGCTCCCTATTAAATTCCTCTGCCTAAAAGCAAAGTGTAAAGTACAAAGTGGGTTCCATTTAGTCCTTACCTCTATAACAAGAAGTGCTTTCTAGTCAACCCTAACTCTTAAAACATTAAATTAGTCTACCAAAATACCAAAAAACCCTTAAATCATAAGAGAAGTCTTCATAAAACCCATTTGAACATAGTGAAGTGTAACAAAAACTCATAGAACATGGTGTATGTAGTCTAATAAAACTCCTTTGAACATAGAGTAATTAATCAAGACCCCTAAGAACAGTGTCTTCTATACAATAATCATTCCCTTTGATAAAGAAGTGTATTTCTTATCCTTGTGTCCTCAAGTTATATTTAACCCTTCCCTTACAAAGTAACCTAAAATATAACTGGTACTTTATACAGTCACAACAAATACTTCAACATTATCTCTCCAACATTCTCTTTTTCTTACTGCCTGTATCAATATATCAATCAGCAAGTATCACCCTATCTCCTAGAATACAAGCTTTTTTTCTCACTATAGGGCAATTACTAGTACCATAGATAGATTTTTTTTTCTTGTAATAAACGGCATCAAACATGACAACAAATCTGCTTCTGTAATCAAGGTCACAAATGACTTATTAGTTAACAAAGTTCTTTTTTTTTTTTTTTTGGATAATGATAATATGTTAAACATCAATTTTCTGGGCAATACGTTGTCACGTCTGGGGAAATGAGAAATGGCACAACTCTAATGACATTCTCTGTTAGTCATGCAATCATTGCTGAGAAGAAATCATTGATCAACCTACATTTCTACATCAGAAAAACATTCCTAACATCTGCCCTCATTCCTTCATTCATTGTATACTCTCCTTTTTTTCTTTGTTACAAAAAAATGAGTCTAAACTTCCTTAAATTAAGTATAAAGTGGAAAAAAAGTTGTGATTGCTGATGGCTTAAAGAGTTTACAGCATGAATAAATGTCCTTCATGAAGTGGCACAATCTGATAAACACTTAAACATACCCAGGTTTATATCAGCTGAAATCATTCGACCAGCTTCACATCACTTTAAATAAATATCCTAAACAATTCAACTATGTTAACATAAGCTTAAACAAACAACCTAAACAATTCAACAAGGTTTACATCACTTTAAATAAACAGCCTAAACCATTCAACCAATTGTTAACATAAGCTTAAATAAACAGCCTAAACCATTCAACCAGGTTAACATCACTTTAAATAAACAGCCTAAACCATTCAACCATGTTAACATAAGCTTAAATAAACAGCCTAAACCATTCAACCAGGTTTACATCACTTTAAATAAACAGCCTAAACAATTCAACAAGGTTTACATCAGCTTTAAGTACAGCCTTAACAATTCATCAGCTTTAAGTACAGCCTAAACATATCAACCAGGTTTACATCAGCTTTAAGTACAGCCTAAACCATTCAATCAGGTTTACACAGCCTACACCATTCAACCAGATTTACATCAGCTTTAAGTACAGCCTAAACCATTCAACCAGGTTTACATCAGCTTTAAGTACAGCCTAAACCATTCAACCAGGTTTACATCAGCTGTAAGTACAGCCGAAAC